ACCGTTTGTGACACTGAGTTTTTATAATGAGAACTAGCAGGCTGAACAGAAGCGCACACGCAACAATTAAAAAGAGAGGCAGACTGTGTGCTCTCTTGCCTTCTGTAACACATCAAACCAATATAATGTGCAAGGTGAGAGATAGCAAGAGAGACTATTTTACTAATTGAAGAGCTAAGCAACTTACATTTCTATTATTGCACAATATTTATAAAATCAAGAACCCTATTTTTATTAACTTACAAGGTTTTAATTTTCCTTTCATTTTGATAAACTTTCAAAGGATTTCCCTAAGCCTTAATGTATAACATTAAGCACCAGCTTGACATTACTACATTAAATCTGCTCTCTGCACTCTGTATGGACAGGGATCCTCCGGCTGACCCTGATTTGCTCTGGGTCAGTGTGTTTTAGGCACTTAAATTAAACATAAATGTATTTCAGAATGTGTCATTTAGGCATAGTATGGTGAGATAAAAAAGGGAGAATATAAAACTAAGACAGGGCCTTGATATAAGATGAAACTGCAGGCATTTAAAAAATGTGTGTGCACAACAAATACATGCAACATCTCCGGTTTGCTTCAAGCCAAGGACCTTTGCTGTGTGACATTATTAATATTTCCTATCTGAATCTAAACTGTTACATAATCTGATAGGAGGCAAACTTTTCCAAAGAATTCAGTTGACAAATAATGTAACACTATGACATGGTGCTTATTTACGACCAAATATGCATGTGTGGTAAATAATTGCCTTCCAGGGGACTGGGGAATTTTGAAAGTTTTACCATTTCAGAGCTCTAACTATTTTTTTTCACATATTTTATAATACTCCGTAATATATTCCAAGGTAAGAACAAAACTAGGCAAACAAGCCTGTATACAGTGCCACATCTTCCTGGAAAATGTACAGAAGAACTGAAACTATCGGAGCCGAATATACGAAGGCCAAAATGTTAATGATTGAGAAATTAGAAATGTTGATCATTGCTTGCTCTTGAATTTTTCACTGAATTCACATTAGAAGTTATACCTTTTATGCATTAAAACAGTTTTTTGTTACTGGATTGGATGTGCTTACTCATGTGTAGTGTGAGAAAGTTGTTTTGTCTCTTGGTCTCGTTTGTGTGTATTGTTGTAACACTGTTTGACTGCTTTCTTGGCCCTTTAAAATAAGCTTTTAAACTCAATCACTTTACCTGGTTAAATAAAGGGTGAATGTAATCTCTTTCTAAAAAGTGGACAAATCCCTCATCTGAGAATCACAATCAATCATGTTAAACTTAGGCCATCAACAAAATACAAAACAAATTCCAAGCAGCTCGTATTAACGATAAAGACATGTTCCTCTTCTATAGCCAATAACCAATCACCAGTGAAGTGAATCTGTTCCAAGCTATTTAATTAACCTTTATGAGTGTTTTTATTTAATCAACACAAATACATGGTACAAATACCAGTGCCTGCTTCAATATCTTACACTGGACACTCTTAACATATTATGGCTTTTGTAATCAGGTTAAAAACGGTTGGAGCTTGCAGACTGAATTAATTAATCCACTGATTGTGCTTTAATGTGTTACCACTCAGCCCAGCGGTGGCAAAGGTAGATAATGGTGATGTAAACACCCATAAAAAGGTGTCAACTAACAGTCACTAACTGTCTATAACGACTTGTGTTATTATTTTAGGGTTCATGTGTGAAGTGGTAAACATACCTGCTTCAAAACGACTGCGCAGACAAAACATGTTTCACTGAATGATCTTATAGCTTTCTGCGATGTTAGCCTGAAGCTACCTGCCATCAAAAGCTAAGGGATTGTGTTAACAAAAAGATGTGGACCATTTTAACCGAGAGAAGAAAAACACGAAACCGGGGGACACGACCGGTTGTCATTGTGCACACACGACTAACCGTCCCCATTCGTTATTTGTTATCCGTTAATGTTCTAAACACATGGAAGAAGATGAAAGGAGAAGCTAATGGTGGCTAGGCTAACGCTCCATTGCCAATATGGCTGCCTTTGCCCCTTTAAATCATATTGTCTGGCGTGATTATACCTCCATAACTGTCGGTTTGGAGATAAATGTGCCTGAAAATAATATAGCTGCGACCCTCAAAATCATTGCAAGAGAGTGTGGGGGGGACAACCACAATATGGCAAACATGTCGCTAAAGAGGAGAGCAAATGAGCAGCATAGATTTTGATGCCGAGTCGAGGGATGCAGGAGAATAATATAATTTAAAAAGAAATTTCAATACCTTCAGCGAGTCCCATTCTAAACACATACACCAGCCAGCAACGGGTCCTCGTTTAATATATATGGAGTAAAAGGGGAAAAAGCCTGTAATTTAGATAAAGCGCAGGCCTTTTCCTTTTCGTTTTAACGCAATTCTCTACAGAGAGGAGGAGGGGTTGTTACGCTATCTGGTCGCTGCCCAATCCCAAAGCCTGGCTCTTCTTCCTCATGTAGGAGCATTTAGTAGAGACACTGCTTCACGTAGATATGTTTAATTATCTCCCCCTCCACTGTGCATTCTTCTTCTAAATGTTATGATATTAATTATCATCTCTAGCTCCCTCTTCCTTTGGTTTAACAAAATCACACTGCTTTTATTTTTTAGTCCAGGCCTGGTGGTCGGTCTCTTCTGCAGCTCAGCGCCAAAATCTCACGGACCGGAGGGGTTACGAGGAGCACTCCGGGATGTGTAGTTCACTTGTGATGGCAGCTACTTTCAAAGGAAAAATATGTTAAATGTTTCATACTTGTCACACCTACACTGATATTAAACAGGGATTTCATGTGTCATGTCGGGAGGAAAACAATGTAAACATAATAAAAAAATAAACTGTTTGAACGTTTTATTTTCAATAGTGTCATATTATTTAAGAATAAAAGCTGTCAAACAGAAGTGCACCAATAATAGTTGGGATTATTGTATTGCACCCTGATCACACAACGCGGTGCAGATGCTATGGTTACGTTTGCACCAGCGTCTCTGATTGGCTGTTATACGCCTCCTCGCCTGATCAGTAGCTGAGAGGAGGGCCACATTAAAGACGTCTCACTCTGACTCGTATTCCTGGTTCCACATTTGTTGATCCACAGTCTTCATTTGTGGGCAACACATAGCTTTTTGGACAATCTTTCAGGCTTTTAATAAAACAAAAATATACCACTTTAAAAACGTATCTATTATTATTAGCTAATAAAGCACTTTGACAACATTATTGACAAAAATACAACCGTTTATCTTTATTTGTTATACTTTTGTTTATGACAAAGTTTATTTACTTTATTATATACAGAGCAGCTACGACACAATCTTTAACTATTTAGTTTAACAGTTCATGGTCAAAGAAGACAAACAACTTCATTAAAGAGGGGGACTGATGCATAAAACATTTTTAAACAAAGTCTGCTCAAACTACTTTTCAACTACTGCAGCAAAAGAGTGAATTGCAATATCCATACAAATAAAGACAGTATCTTAGCTTTTCTGATCCAATGCAAGCACATTAAAGCCCATCGCAAGCTCTGTGGACTTACCTAGATAGAGAACGTGACAATTGATCCTGATATTTGGCTTGATGAACACAAATACAAAAGGTATAAGACATATTGGCTTCGAATCAAATGAGTGATTCTCAGCAAATTTTTCTTGTAAAAAAAGGATTAGAAAACCAGAGGATGTCTGGTAAAAAACATACACTGCAGGTGACATATTGTATTTCTGGTATTTCTAGTGTAAGTGGCCAGTGACCTCAACACAAAAATCCAGCTATCCCTTGGAAAAAACTGTTACCTAATGTGTTGCAGAAAAAAGAATACTGAACAACTACTAAAACTAGGCTATGAATGAAACTATGAATGCAAAATGAAAAAAGATTCTGAATGGCTTTTTCTAAACAAAAAACTGTATATATTGTCTTGTAGTTATGTTATACAGAATATAAACTTCAAACACAAAATATATATTATATATTATATATATATTATATACAGTATATACGATAAATGCTTACACATGTAAAAAGTATAACATAAGTAGCATTCATTTTCCATATCTCCAGCACTGATGTACAAAATATAAGAACAGAGTAGAGAATGGAGAATATTTAGTACTTAAATAACCCTCAACTCCAATTATTAATTTTCAATATTGGTACAGACTATAGATAAAATAGTTCAACAAAAACAGTGGTGGCAAGGAGCTAGATGTGCTCAAGTACTGTACTTAAGTACACTTTTGATGGACTTGTCTTTACTGTAGTATTTACATTTGTTGCTGTACTCTTACTCCACATGTCAGAGGTAAATTGTGTACTTTTACTCTACAACACTTATTAAAATGGGCGGCGTGTGGCATTGGTGTTGGGATCAGGGGAGCACAGGTTCAAACCCCACTGCAGTAGCATGTGGTTGTGTCCCTGGGCAAGACACTTCACCCCAAATTGCTCCTGTGGGGATTGTCCACAGTATTGAGTATGCAAGTCGCTTTGGATAAAAGCGTCTAACAAGTAACATGTAATAATGTAATGTAATTAAATACCTTTATTTATTTTGCAGATTAGAATTAATCTTGTGAAATATAATCAACACTTAAATCAGACTTTAGTTTAGTACATTCACAAGCTAACCTGCAGTAAACAAAGTAATTAAACACATTTATACGCTTTGATTAACATATTAACGCATCAATTATAATATTATTATTATCAAAACATATACAATATATTATTCTGAAATGGACCAATCTGCATGAGTACTTTTACTTTTGGTAGTCTATGTATATTTTGATGCCCACACTTTTATTTGAGTAACACTTTTGAATGCACGACATTTACTTGTAAGTACAAGATCTGAGTACTTCTTCCACCTCTGACCATAAATAAGTGGGAAAGATTTCAAATGAATTAAATTATTATTTGTAAACCACGTAGTGAGTCATATTTCCACACATAGAGGATCTTCGGTTTGTACGCACAACATTCACGCATGTGTACAGTGTGACCTTTCAGTGCAGCTGCCTGGGGAAGGCTGCACGACAAGAGTAAACGGGCCTGGAGCTCAAACACGACGAATTTTACCGTGTTAACCCTCCGTAAATGGGTTTATCACCACACCAGCCCTTACTTTCATCGCTCCCGTTCACCTCGACCGATTGTTGTGGATGGATTATCTTATTAACCGTCTCACCGAGAAGCCTTACTACGCCCAGTCAGCAGCGGCAGCCATAGCTCCGTCATTGACGCTGGAGGTTAGTGGGCTCGTCATCCGCAGACTGCCATTTCACCAGCAGGGAGCTAACAGGCTAGGCTAGCGGAGGCTTCAATGGAGAATTCACTAGCATGATGCTAATCTTAATCTTAAAGTACTGGAAGAGAACAGAACTAATATTTTGATATTCAAAGATATTGGAGATATATAATTTTCTGGTGACACATAACTAACGTGAGTAGGAATTTATCAACAATTATTTCCTCCTCAGTTTAGCATTACCATTTATAAAGCTAGCACAACAGTGGCTGTGTGATTTAACCTGACGCTAGGCAACATGTCAATTGTATGTGGAGTTATATCCAAATGTGTATAGATGAATTAGATTATTGGTTTGTTTTAACTTTGAATTAAGCCGGTGAGCCTTACATTGTCCGGGTTAATATCTGTCAGGTTAGTAGCGAACTGTGCTGCAGTTGAGTGGTTACATAATGTTAGCTTAACTGCTGACCGTCTGCGCGAATGCTAATGTTTTATATCATATCATGTTTTGCATGGTTAACAGCTAATTTGCACAGCGTACTTTATGTAATGAGCCTGTTTTAGCAACAGACTGTATGTGAGAGGACATGTTGTACTGCTTGTTGTATTGTTCCAGTCAGCCTGTTGTCGGACCATGCCGGTGTAACATGAAACCAACACGCCCTCTCTCTTTCTCCCTGTCTCCATGTGTGCCTTTAACAGAATATTGCAATCTGCCCCTGCAATGGCCGTATTTAGTCACCAGGTGCTTCTTGCAGTCACAAGATCAAGGTAAGAAAATGAATATCCTGTAACTAAATAACTTTATGAAATGCAGAAATGTTTAATTTCACAAAGTGGATTGACAGCAGTTACAACTCTTGGATCCTCTGTGCTGTGTTCAAGTCACTAGAGCTTAAGGTGTCTGTTTACACAGTGCATGCTGCAGACAGTGAGGCCTACTCAATGTGTCTCATGACACACACGATGTAAACACAGGACTACATTGGTTTCTACTGATGATGCAAGATCTGACACTGCTTTGTCCTCACTTTCATCCCATTTTCTCATGAGCCTAGTCAGTCTGTTGCATAATGTTAAATGTCAAAGTTAGCAACTTGTCAATTTATGCAGCGAGACAAAAATATACCAACTGTCAGAGACTTTGACATGTATTCTATGTTAGCTATACCTTTATTTTATTTATTTTAATTGAGCCACAATTCCATTATCACAATTGTAGTAATAGGATTCTTGCAACAAGTAATTTTAGTAGTTAATATGTTTTAAGTCCAAAGCTGTTCATAATATACATCAACGACATTGGCAGAGTATCAAATATATTGAAATGTATTTTATTTGCAGATGACACTAATATTTTTCGTTCCGGTGACAATTTGAAAGAGCTAATGGAAGTGATAACAGCAGAAATGATTAAAGTAAAACATTGGTTTGACACAAACAAATTATCATTAAATATAAGCAAAACAAAGATTATGTTATTTGGAAAACATAAAACAAATCCACAGATACAATTAATACTAGATATTAACATACACATAGAAAGAGTATATGAAATGAAGTTCCTTGGTGTGGTTTTAGACCACAAAATCAGCTGGAAACCTCATATCACTCATGTAAAAGCAAAACTGGCTAAAACTATCGCAATATTGGGAAAAGCCAGATACATTCTGGACTATAACTCATTGCATACTCTATATAACACACTAATATTGCCATATCTGATTTACTGTGTGGAGATTTGGGGAAACACGTACAAAACCAACCTACAGCCGTTATGCACATTACAAAAAAGGGCTATAAGAGTTATCAATAATGTTGGATATCTTGAACACACTAATGCATTATTTTTGAAGTCACACATATTGAAGTTCATTGATCTGGTTAAATTTAAAACGGCACAAATCATGTACAGAGCCAGACATAATCTACTTCCTAGGAAATTAAAAACATTATTCGTAGACAGAGAGGGTGGGGATAATTTGAGAGGAAATCTACATTTGAAACTCGAGGTCAGAACAACTCTGAGAAGTATGAGTTTAACAATCTGTGGTGTGATTTTATGGAATGGTTTGGAGCAGGAGTTAAAACAAAGCACAAGCATAATTCAGTTTAAAAGGATGTACAGAAACACTTTTTGGGAAAACTATGAGAATGAAGAAAGGTGATTGAAGATGAGAAATGATTGTGTATAAATATAAATGTATGTAGGAATAACTTGCATAATGATTTAAAGGACAATCATTGATCAAGTAAGGGGTGGGAATTAATAAGCATTTGCTTCCTCCTACTCTCTTTCGGACACATATGATTTATTATTAATATGAAGACATTTTTTGTTTTTTTGTTGAATATACAACTATTACCATGAATGTGGATAAATACTGTATTATAACAATACGGTATTCTGTTTTTCACATTTGTTATTTTTTAATCTGTTCGAAATAAAGACTGGAAGAAAGAAAGTCTTAACCCTGCTGATACATAACTCTACAGGTGGTTAAAGAGTTATATCTATCTACACCAAACCTTAGCACAAATGTCTGTCTAGTTTTATGATTAGTTTTATTATGACCTGTATTGGGGTATTGAGACTTACTTTATTTGTATTCTGCAGATGCACAACGACACATTTCACTTTATTCCATTGAGCTACAGGGGGTAGTAAAGCTCAGAAAAACGTATACATGTGCCAGGAAAGGCTGGGGAGAATAATACTGAAAGCCAATTAACATAAAGGTATAAAAAGCAGGATTTAAGAAATGTCCCTAAATTCAGTTACGATGATGATATGAGCCGACTGAAGCTGGAAACACAAACTTTTTTATGTTATATATATTCACAAATTAATTATTTTCAAATTCATAATGTGTTTTATTAATGAAATAATCTGGCCATCAAATACAAGCATTACACTTTCTTTATTTGTTCATATCAATAATACAATATTATGAAATAACTTACCAGTTTTTCTTGTTGCGTTTGCAGGGGATCATATTTGTTATCCAAGAGGAACAGCTGCTCCACTCTGTCTTCCAAAGCCTATCTCCACATAGACCCTCCCCGCCAGGTCTCCTCCGCAGTCACCCTCAGGCACTCCCGATTCGGCTCCCCACACTGTTACCGTGACCACAACTCCACCCTACTCGCCCGCTCTCTACATAGCTCCAGTTTTAGTGTCCTCCTGCAAGAAATAAAACAAGAGGACACTAAAACTTCACCAGCCGCTGCTCAGGATGCTTCTAAAAAGGACTCCGCTGCCCCCCAGGCTCAGGCTCAACCTCCACCTGCTCCCGCTACGACTCCCACAGCCGCCACCGCATCTGCTGTCCCTCCGGTGCAGGAGAAGGCAGTCGTGAAGAAGGCTCTGTATCAGAAGATTGTTGATGAGTTGAAGCATTACTACAATGGCTTCCGGTTGCTCGGCATCGATATCAAGATTGCAGGCAGGATGGTGTGGAGGCTGTTGCATGGACAACTGCTCTCACGCAGGGAGAGGAGAAGGGTAAGACAAGCTTTATTCAGTCTGTAAAATGTTATAATATTTATAATCAGTAACTGAAAACCCAGGCACAGGTCTATAGGTAATTTACAGTCTGTTAGTTATTGTTTTATGCATGTAGTAGTCTCACAAGACACCACAAATACTGTTGCATTGGTAAAACAATAACACTGCTTGCATAATCAACAATATAGAAGCAAATAAAGCTAAACCTGTAATAGGGCTGCGATTTTTCTGACAAATATTGCGATTTGCAATATTTGTTTTTAAGCTACCCAACGGAAGTTTATTGTAAAATGCGGCCAGAACTCCGACTAGGAAGGTCGTATCAACATGCTCCCGTCTCTAGCAGCCCCGCAGCCCGAGCTACGAGTGAAAAAACTAAACTTACATGAAACTTCCGTTGGGTTGCTTTAAAGTCAAGCTTCAGTTTAAGATTCACCCTGTAATAGAAACACGTGATGGAGCATTACTAACCTGACTCAGAAACCATCTAGGAAAGCTCCATTGGAAGCCATTTGGAAAGGGCAGGCACTTTCAGAAGCACTTGGCAGGTGATTGGATCAATCTGTCACCTTCTATCATGAGCTACTTCTGATTGATTAACAATGGCTGGTACATGTGGAGCACAGCACTTCTGATTGGTGTGGATGACTGACACACAATAAAAAAACTTAAAAAAATCGCAGGCTTTGCGATTTGATAATAGCATCATTTGAAATTGCGCTTTCGATTTAAAATCGATTAATCGTTCAGCCCTAACCTGTAACCTTAAATCATCATATTTTGTATGAATGAATTTCGGTGAATACATTAAACCTACCTGTGTGTATTAGTGAGTGATTTATACCTGAAAGTAACAAGCATGGCTAAACATTTACCATATTCTGAATGTGGACTGTTGAAACCAAGTCAAAAAATGATCTACATATGAAAGTATCCCCAAAGAATTATGGAAAGTTGCAGCCCTACAGTTCTGTTTTGTACATTTACCCCAAAATACTTTGATATATTAATGTCGCCCTGACTTACTTGGGTGAAAGAAACTGTGCACATTGAGATCTTTAGGCTCAGCATGCTGTAGTTCCGAATTTACTTTTTTAAAATTAGGTTCATTCATCAGCAAACATTCCACAAGCGCCATATTGGTTTCAAATGTGTTCTATTTTTTGCCGTGGTCTTAGCATTGAACTTCTTCTGTTGCCCTCCGGTCACAGCAGCAAGTCTGTCTGGATTCTTTACAATAGTCTGGTCTCTTTTTTTGTCTTCACTTAACGGCTCTGGAAGTAGTTTTTACTCTTTCTCTAAGTTGTTGTCAGTAAAACATTAGTGAGGCATATATTACAGGGCATGACATTAAGGATTTTGGGAGATGGCCCTGTGGGCCATCTAAGCTAATTTACAGATGGCCCTGAGTCCAATAGAGATGGCCCTGAAAAATGCGCACGGACGAAATGACACACGAAAGGTTTGGGGGACCTGCAGGTCTTAGATGCTGTCTGGTGCATTCTCTAGAATTATAAGATGAACCACCACAATATTATATTGTTCAATTTTATTCTTAATTTCACTTCTTCTTGTTTGTGTTTGCTGATTCAACGACTAATAGTCTTTCAAGAAAGTGTCAATGTCTGACTCGTCTATGTCTGACTCATCTGAGTCGTCAAGAGCTTCAGCCAAGCGCTTCTCGCCAGCAGCCACATTCTCTGCCTCAAGTCCGAGCTCGTCAGATATGGCCTCCTGGCGCACATTCTCCTCCTGCTCGGCTTCCTGATCCATAAGAACCAGGTCTTCATAGAGGTCGTCCCGTATCTCCTGCTCCTGCTCCTTCTGCCACGGGTTGAAGCCAGGGCGACGAGCCCTATTTCCTGAGGTCCACCACTTCTCCACGGCTCCGGCAGCATCAAAGTTGTCCATTGAGGGGCCCTCAATGGAGGAAAACATCAGGCGGCTGAGCTGCTCAGTACCCAGACAGGAACGCCAGTCGTTCTTCACCCTCTTCATGCAGCTGAACCCCCGCTCACACACTGCAGTGTTGACTGCCAGAACAAGGTATATTTCAAACAGTATTGACAGCCCCTTATACTGTTTGCATCTCTCAGTGTCACACAGGATGCCAGAGAAGATCTGTGGCATTCGAAGTGTGCGGGCTGCTGCATAACTCTTGTAGAGGATGAACTCAGACTTCAGCATTTTAGTTGTAACACTGTGCTCGTCCATCAGGGGCTGATAATGCTCACAGATATCAGCAAAGTCTTGTTTGCCATAGGCAGCCAGCTCCTGTCTGTCAGAGGGCCACTGACTGGGGTTGAAGATGGAAAATTTTGAAGGGACACTCCCTTTCTGGAGATCTTGGAATCTTTTCTCCAGGTGCTTGATGAGCACATCTGCAAACACATACACAATGTCAAATTATAATCCCTGTCTCTGGACCACCATAAAAAATCATTTATATCATAACAAATGTGAAATTATATTCCTGTCTTTGGACCACCATAAAAAAATTATCTATTAAAACATGTTATGCCCATATTTACTTATGAAGAAAATATTTACTTTTGAAGAAAAAATATTGAATATTTACTTTGAAGAAAATATTATTGGGCACATACCTATGACTTTCTTCCGGAGAAAGAGAATCTGCCCTTCGTTGACATACTTGAGTTTAGTCCCTCGGAAGAGGCCGGTTTTTGAGACTGCATCAATGACCTCCTGCATCCCCTCAGTTGGTTGGAACTGCAGGTCCACTAACTTCAGTGAGCATGTCTCCAGGGCTTCCACAGCATCACATACAGTCAGGCTGTCCTTCTGGAAGTTCAGTGACAACTCAGAGAGGGCTTCAAAAGTGTCACGCATGAAATAACTGAAAAGTACATTGTCATAGTCCATGAGGAAGGTGAGGATCCTGTACGCCCTTCCTCGCACCTTTGGGCTTGGCTTCGGTCTTCTCTCAGTGCTTATGAGATCCTGGAAGTAGGTCACGAATACCGCGTAGCTTTCGCACACAATCTGCAATAAAGATAGCAATTTTATATTTTCTATCCTGATGAGATTTAATTATCTATTAAATATTTGTTTAGACCTACCTTGTTGGCTTTGTGTATGTAAGGGAGAAATCTCGCCCCAGCAAGGTTGGTTGGCTTCAGCACTTTCTCCTCCAAGGCCTCCGCTACCAAACGCAGCTCATGTAAGGCTTTTGGGCTGAACTTATAGTGCTTGTAAAGCCACTTAAGGTTCTGATGAAGTGCCTTGAGCTTGTCAAGCTCCTTGAGGCTGTCAACGAGCCCCCTCTCAGCACGGTGGGCCACACAGTGAAGGGCAATGAGATATGCGATATCCCGTTTGAGGAGGGCCTGGACACCATTGTCTTTCCCGAAGTTAACAGCAGCCCCATCTGCCCCGAACCCCACCAACCTCTTCTTCCAGTCGTCCACTCTACCCCGTGCAAATGCTGTTTTTTTAATTTAAAATAGCACATTTATTAAATGTCATCAGCAAACAATTATTATTTTTTTAAATAGATAATCACATGTCATCAGAAAAGAATATCTTACCTCCCATAATGAGTGCATATAAGCCTTTAGCATTGGCTCGCTTGACGTGTTCAATGCTAAAAAAACACATTTTTTGGCCTCTTGGTGGAGTCTAGGTACCGTACGTACACGATTTCTTGTTCCAGGATCGCCTTGTCCGTTGCCCCATCTATCATGACTGAGAAGAATCGGGCACTCTTCACCTCAGCCAGAATAGGGTCATAAATGAACTGGTAGATGTCCACAAAAAATCTAAAAGTAAAAATATCAATTAGTTTAATACATTTGCATGTGGCAGTTGTAACATTTTAAGGTGAAATAAATGCAAGAAGTACTGGTACCAGTAATTCTAAAAATTTGTTGTGAAGAAAAGACATTTACTTTTGAAGAAAATATTTACCGTGCGCAGGCTTTGTCGTGGTGGTAACACAGGGGCATCTTGGCACCGGTCCTCCTGTTCAGGTCCACCAAGACAGGAAAATCTGTAAAGGGCCTCTCACTCTTGACCACAAAGTAGGCCACATGGAAAAGGTTGCTCATGCCAGCACGAAGTTCATCCTGCATCTTAGAGAGGCCACGCAGTATAGGGGCCACCACAGAATTCTCACCATCAATCTTTGCTTGGGAAGCTGCAGCACACAGCTCATGCTTCTTGCTTGGATCATGACAATCCAGTAATGTTTTGCGGAATGTACTGTTGCCCTTGTACAGACTGCATGTCCTGAAATTAGGGAAACATTTAAATAAGCAATGTGATTTTTTGGGGTTTGGGGCAACATTTTTTCTAAGTCGAGACATGGACAAAAATTGGCCAGAACTCCCCCTGTACATAGTGGAATTTGGGGCCAGAATATAGGATTTTTTCTAAGTCAAGTACATATACAAAATTGCATAATTATATAATAATAAGTTCATACATACTTATCACTGATGGAAGGGAAATGTCTGCAAGGCTCACAGAACATTTCATTCTTCTCTTTGTCAAATCTCAGCCATGGAAACTGGTCCAGCCAAGCTGGGATGAATGCCCTTGCCCTCTCCTTCCCCTCATAGTCTCTGGCCTTCTGAATTCTCTCTTCTTCTGACTGGGATTCTCTTTTGATTCTCTTTTTTGGGGGGGGGGGCTGCAGCTCAGTCTTTCTCTTCTTCTTTCCAGGTTGTTCACCTTGCTTTGGTGGACTAAGAAACATTGTAATACACTCTCACTTTAAATTATTTGATCATTATGTATTCAGCATCAGAATCCGTAACAAACTGAAATTCCCGCGAAAATGTGGTTGCATTCGATTCATTGTCCGGGTAGTATTCAGTTGCGCCACTTATGTGACAGACAAGAATTGTCAACTCTAATGTCTAACACTTAATGTGGAGAAAGAGATGTCCTGTATGGGTTGATTGTGCGTTGATCTGTTGGTAATGCCTCGGGGTTCCGGTGGGCATGTAAACAAATGCATAATGCTGCGCTATACTTTGTGGCCTCACCCGGTTGCATAGCGATACTTATTGTTTAGGTGTCTTTTAATAAGCAGGTAGTCCTATCAGTAGCTAGAACTAGCTGGATCTGATCGATATGGACATAAACGCGAGTGAAGTCTAATCTGACGGGAGAGAGAGATCAGCTGAGCAGGCTGACGAGTCGAAATGCAGCTCTGCATAATCACATGCAGCGGTGAGCGGACAAAACACACACTTCAGGTTAGAATATCACACGTAGCTATTTTAATGACCTCTCAAACTACCTAAACTAGTTATAGTAGATGTGTTTTAGTTTTACTGTCGGGTCAGTCATTACTGGATCCGCGAGCTGCATGATACTGACATAATAGATTGCCCGATCGGGCAACCAGCAGGTGAGGCTTCATTGCCCGAGCTAAATACTAGATGGCCCCAGGCCATCCTTAATGTCGAGCCCTGTATTATATGGCTTAAGGGTTACTTTGAATGGTTCACACCTTTGCATGTCAATAAGGAATGTGTACCCGAAGTTGTAGCAAATGGGAGGAAGAGCAAGTGATCAGTTGGGTAGTACCGTAGTGACAGCCGTTAAAAATCATCCACAGTTTTATCACTAGTCCTGCTGTGAGAGCAATTCAGTTCTAGTATTGGTCTGTGTAGTCTGCTGTATTTGTTAAGGACTGTTAGGTGCACTGTCATTCATATTTGACTGTAACTAAGTGTTGACATTGGAGCTAGTAGCAAGTTATTCAATGATGTAAAGCCACACATTTTGATCATAAATTAATTGTTGACAATTTCTTTAACAAAAGTATAGGCGTTAGTTTCATATTTTGAGCTTTTCTTTCTCTTATGTGATAGTAAATATGAAACAGCAGATCACATGACGTGGTCAGCTGAGCTTGTGTTCAGAAAACGTAAGCATGTTAGAAATGGTTAATACCCTCTGGAATTCATTTATGCAGATTTCAGATACACTTCACTGAGAGAAGACACTGGTAGATCATTGAAACAGGACATACTGTCTCTGTATGTCTCCATGACTCTCACTGACCCAAATTGTGTACATGCTCTAGTAAACTATTTTAAGGCTTATTTTAGAAGATGACTGTTAGAGCCACATGTGGGGATTCTTTGGTGAAGGAACATCCCCTCCTGCAATATTATGGTTCTATTGTGATCGCCCTATGGACACAAAATGGATCTAGCATGCAAACACACCTGAGCTCTGGCATGGATTAATTTATTTTCCACTTTAACATTGTTTTTTCTTTTTGTTTACAGCTATTGAGGACCTGCGCTGACCTTTTCCGTCTGGTGCCCTTCACGGTGTTCATCATCGTTCCTTTCATGGAGTTCCTTCTTCCTGTCTTCCTCAAACTTTTCCCGGAGATGTTGCCCTCCACCTTCGAGACAGAGTCTAAAAAGGCATGTGTACACACACACACACACACACACACACACACACACACACACACACACACACACACACACTGTTGCATGAATGGCCCACCAGAGTAGGGCTGCACGGTTTTGGGAAAACATCTAATTGCAATTTTTCTGACAAATATTGCGATTCGATTTGCGATATTTGTTTTTAAGCGACCCAACGGAAGTTTATTGTAAAATGCGGCCATATCTCTGGCTAGGAAGGTCGCATCAACATGCTCCCGTCTCTAGCACCCCCGCAGCCCGAGCTACGAGTGAAAGAACTAAACTTACATGAAACTTCCGTTGGGTTGCTTTAAAGGGGACCTATCATGCAAAATGCACTTTGTGATGTCTTTTATGCATAGATATGTTTGTTAGACGTCAAACCCTAACCCTAACCCGAAAGCACTTTTCAGACCCCCCGGGTCAGCATAACGTACTTTCCACTTGCCCGCTCGGGCCACTAAAAATATTGGTTTAAAAAAAAAAAAAATGGTCCTGTGTTATAGGTATTTTGACAAGCCATTTTGTTAAATTGTTTCGTTTATTAACGCTACAACATAGCGTTTCGTGAGGCGGTTGTCGTTGTTGGGTGAAAAGCAAACCGCTGTTTCCTGCGCAGCGCGAGCAGGCTCCCGTGAGCGGGAGCGCGCTCGTTCACTACAGACTTTCGCGCCACCTATCGCCAAATTTTTTTTAATACCAGCGGTAACCGGCCAAGCGCCGGGCAAAAACGATCTTCAAATAAAAGAAAGTCACCGGAGGAGTTAAAGGAGAGTGACGGGGAGGGAGAGAAAGTTTCAGCCAGCTTGATCGATGGAGTTGGCTTCTAGTGGTGCAGTGACGCATCCTAAAACCCTTTTATAATCTATCGATTAGATTTATGATTCGAACATTATAAAAGTAGGGTGTGGATATTATCCGGCTGAACAAAACGTGCATTTATCAAACAGGTTTGTTTTCCACAGACCTTATTTCCAGCTATTTTCCAAAACCCTGTGGAGAAATCCCATTGCTTTTTGTCGAGGGAACCAGCAGCTTACTTCCTGGTTTTAGGATGCGTCACTGGCTGCACCTCTCAATATGATGCCAATATAAACAAGGTCTTTAGTCGGCTCTGTACATCAATGCCGACCTATGCTGACAAGAACATATATATAAAGGTATATTCGCGATAGGGAAATGTCCCAGCAGTTTAGGAGAATGAAGGTTCTAATCTATTACATAGCCATTACATTTCTAACTCCTGATAATGACAGGAAGGCAGAAAGCGCATTATACTAATAATAATAATAATAATAGCAGACATTTTTTAACAATGACCACAATATAATTATTTTAATAAACCAAATATGAACAATTGAGGAAAATGAGGAAGAACTGATGATTCAAATGTTGTAGTACAAGTAGTAATGTAGTTTGTGCATACATTACTATTGCAACAAATGTGTTCATTTTCTTCATGATTAGTTGATTCTTTTGAACGAATGCTCCGGGCCAGTGGTTACAATGGTGGGGCCAGTGATAATAAAATGTTACCCTTAATGTCTACCCCTGGCTGTGACATGTCCATCCGATCTGACGTCAAATCGGCAGCGGACCCACAGAAAATTGCTATCAGAAACAATGCCTGACATGTTTTGGACGTAATCTCGTCTTTGTTTACATTAGCAAGCCTCGCTAACACTCAGAGCTAACCTGTACTGTAGAGCACATGTGTTTTTAAAAAGCAGGAAATAAACCTGCAAGAGAAAAGGCATTTGAGCTCCATACTATTTCAGAAATAATCCTTGACGTGGTTTAAACATGATGGCGTTTTATCACAAACGAATTTATCTCTGGTAGAATTCTGATCAGGCATTAGCTCCGCCTCCTATTCTTTCTTTTTTTTCAAGCTAAGGACCCAAAATCTGCGCTTCCCTAACAGGGCTGCAAAAGAGGGGTTTGAGCAGTAAGAGGTATGGCTACAATGGGTGATCTGTTTGGTATTTTGAAAAAAAAACTTCACAGAAATGTTTTATATAGGTATGGCCCTACAATATATTTTTTAAATATAGCATGATAGGTCCACTTTAAAGTCAAGCTTCAGTTTAAGATTCACCCTGTAATAGATGTAAAACATGTGATGGAGCATTACTAACCTGTCTCAGATGGTTCGTTTCACCAAACCATCTATGAAAGCTCCATTGGAAGCCATTTGGAAAGGGCAGGCACTTTCAAAAATACTTGGCAGGTGATTGGATCAATCTGTCTATCACCTTCTATCATGGGCTACTTCTGATTGGTTAACAATGGTTGGTACATGTGGAGCACAGCACTTCTGATTGGTGTAACAAGTGACATGTAATAATGATGACTGACACACAAGAAGAAAAAAAACAAATTGTTAAAAAAAATCGCAGGCGTTGCGATTTCATAATCGCATCATTTAAAATCGCGATTTCGATTTAAAATCGATTAATCGTTCAGCCCTACACCAGAGTCAATTGTGATTTATATAATTGCTCAGATATGCCAGGCAGCAGACTTTATCTAATCTTTATTTACTTTAGGAGCGGTAGCCTGATGTACACATGCTCTCCAAACCTGTCAGATTCAAACTATCTTTCCAAAAATCCTTAATATAACTATTGTTTGGGTAATTTTAACTTCTCATCTGCTGTGAATAAAATGCAGCAGCTTTTTGTACTTGGTCCAGCTGACCTGACATCTCTGATGTTGTGGAGCTCTGTTGAGGGATAACAGAAATGCTCTCGTGCTCCACGATACCTACAATTATAAACAAAACATGTAAAACATAACTGTCTTAAATTGTTTGTGAAGTCGTGTTTTTGTACTACGCGGCCATTAATGCCACCTTAAAAATTAACCGGAATGTTAGCAATATGTTCTGTATTCGACAACTGTATTTAAATGCATTAAACTAAAGCTGTCTTCAAAAGTATTTAGTTTTAATTAACCTGCGTCTCACTCTTCTTCATGCAGGAGGAGAAGCAGAAGAAAGGTCTGGCAGCGAAGCTGGAGCTGGCTAAGTTTTTGCAAGAGACCATCGCTGAGATGGCTCAAAGGAATAAAGCAAAAGCTCAGACTGAGGATGAGACACAGCGCTTCTCCACATATGTTCAGAAGGTACATTGTTTTTATTATTATTGACAATTATATGACTTAAAACACATTTAACTAGCTTAACTCAAGGGGAAACATTTTTTAAGAGTAACGTTGTGACCAAATGTGCGCAGCATTAGTGACAGTTTGTCTTCTCGTCAGGTCCGGGGCACAGGAGAGCAGCCCACCACGAAGGACATCGTCCGGTTTTCGAAGCTGTTTGAGGACGAGCTGACGCTGGAGCACCTGGAGCGACCCCAGCTGGTGGCTCTGTGTAAACTGTTGGAGCTGCAGCCCATCGGCACAAACAACTTGCTGCGTTTCCAGCTGATGATGCAGCTCAGAACCATCAAGTCAGACGACGAGGTGAGATGGAGGTCAAGGATGTGATCGTTGTCCCCTCTGATGTGCAGCTATCATCTTTTCTTGTGCAACACGTTTTGACTCCCCTCTCTGTTTCTTCACAGATGATTGCAGCAGAGGGTGTGCCAGCGTTGAGTGTGTCTGAACTTCAGGCAGCGTGTCGTAGTCGGGGGATGAGGTCTCTGGGTCTCACAACCGAACAGCTAAATCAGCAGATGCAGCAGGTGAGAGGCTACATGATGAGTTTGTTGCTTTTATTGGTCCCTAAGACACTACATTTATGTTTCCGCACAACATTCTCAGAGGCTGAGGAGTTCAATGTTTTTTGTTTAATAAAAGAATGAAACTATTTATATTTTGTCATTGTTCCCTAAATCAATGTTGTTCTCCGTCTAGTGGCTGGACCTGCACCTGAAGGAGAACGTTCCTCCATCGCTGCTGCTGCTCTCCAGAGCCATGTATCTGACCGACCTCAAACCAAAACCTCCAGTCATCCCGCCTGTTGCCAAACTAGAGGTCCGTCCTTTACTTAGACTTGTACTGCATTTCCCCTTGAGTGTACAGATCAGAGGGCAAGTTTTGCGGCTTGAGTTTCAAACAGTTCAATTTCTGGTATTCAGGTCACTGACGTTTGGTACCGTTCACCGTTTGCTCTCCTTACGGAAAGCACCTTGATGTACTATGAAATAACTATTTATTTAGGCTACAACTAGTGGTTATTTGCATTGATGAAGTAGTGGAATTTTAATGTAATATTAAAATTAAATATATAAAAGCAGCAAAAACATTTAAAATTCATTAATAATTTCACATTTTTAACTGCTGCGCACAAGATCTATCTTCCTTTTATTGATATCTAAATCCGGCCAATAAAAGGAACAGACCTGTCTTTCGTGGGAGGCGTGTGGCGCAGTGGAATAGTGCGTTGGCGTCCGGATCAGGGGAGCACAGGTTCAAACCCCACTGCAGTCAGCATGTGGTTGTGTCACTGGGCAAGACACTTCACCCCAAATTGCTCCTGTGGGGATTGTCTACAGTACTGAATGTATGTAAGTCGCTTTGGATAAAAGCGTCTAACATGTAATGTAATGTCTTCTTATCAGATGTTTGTTGTTGTTTTTGCAGAAAGCTCCTCCTCCTCCAGTGGAGAATGCAGGAGCAAACGTGACCTCAGTTAGCACCGACATGTTGGCGGACCCTGCTCTCATCATCAAAGAAAGATTGGTCAGTGGATTCATAACACACAGCAGCAGAATGGTGTAACATTACGAAAGAAAAACAATTATGAATTAATTAAACTATGTAGCTCATTATCAAGACAAAAATCTAACATTTTCACTAGTACACATTACAGAATCAGGGCATGACTGCTCAAAATAAACTAAAGGAGTTTGACTGCAGTGTTTACTCCAGGAAAATCCATGCTTTGACCGAGCGCAGTCATTCTAGTAACTTTATGCATAACGCTGTGATGTCGGTAATGCTGCCATATGACCCCAGCCTTAATTCTAATCTATTTGCTGGGACAAGAAGATAGATACCACCCAAAAGTGCCTAGACCTTTTGTAGATAGATGACTGCAGCGGTTGGTTTGATAAATGTAAGAATGATTGTTACACGTGCGTGTTGGGGAGCAGTTCACATGAACCATTAAGTCGTGCAGGAACCTCCATCTTATACTTGTTTACCTGTGTGCTGCAGGTGGAGGAGTTGAGAGACAAGGCTCCCGTGATCTCGGACAAACCCCTGACCCCCGCTGAAGTCCTTCAGGTGAAATCACATTGTTGCCCGGTGCTGTGGAATCCACAGAAACCAGTTTGAGATGTTATGCAGCACAGGTTTAATCCTGTTAGTGCTTCCTGGCTTTGATCTTTGTCCCATGGCATGTTAATCTCTCACAATGGGACTGGGCTACTTTTCTGGAAAAACAGCTATTCAGCCCTTTCCTTGACTACATGATGTTTTCCATTGATGACAAGGAAAAGTGGTTAGGAAAAGTCACATGATGTAATTATTAGACCACGGCCAGGGTATCTCAGCAGTCTAATATGACCTTGGTGACCCCGATTCATGTCTGTCTGATGACCTTTGTGACGGCTAACCCTCTCTCACTATCTATCCCATGATGTCACCTAATGGCTGTGAGCTATCAATTAAAGGCAGGATGATATAAATAGTAAAAATAAAAGTATGTTTGAATAGGTTTTAAATGGGGAAAAACATGATGTGGTAGTCTAACCAAGCTCTTCTTTTTCTGCAGGCTAAAGCAGCGACAGAGGTATCCCAGAAGAGCAAGATGAGTGCCAACGGTGTATAAAGCGGAGCTGGAGCCTCTGGACTGAAGAGAGGATGGACTGAGCTCTGTGTCCTCGGGGGGGAAGAGAGGGACCACAGGGTTGTAGTGGTCAGATAAGGGGCATTTGATGGTCTGCATTTCGGCAGACCTTTAAACTCCTCCTTTTTAAATATCTCGTTCTGTCTTCAGTCCAGAGGGACTGGGGGATCACTGGCTCCGTTCAGCATTGTGTTTGGTATGTTGATCCTGGGAGTCCTGTTCCCTCTTTCTCTCGCTCTCCGTTTACACCCAGGGAAAGGTCTGCTGCCTCTTCTGCTTCTTTATCCCCTCAAACCTTCTGATTTGTGCACTCCGTTCTCTGTCACTCTCCATTCGAGCTGGACAAACCAGCCTGACGTTTCAGAGAACTGGCAGAACATTAATGGTGTGAATACTTTGACCTAATGTCCTGGAAGTGATGCCCAAACTGCCCACGGCAGAGCCGGGTTAACCGTCTGTTTGATGGTGTCTCCTTACAGTCCAGGCACCCTCCTTCTCCTGTACATTTGTAAATATTCTGTATATTTTTGTCCGTCTTATATCGCAGCAGCAGCAGCTTGTATATTTTGCTATGCAAAGTCTACAGTCCCTTGAAAAATGTCAAGTATTTCATTTGTTTTTATTTGGATTCCTTATTCGCTCCTCTTCAGGATATAAGAGAAGTAATTTATTTCAGAAATACGTTAATGAACTTTTTAGTTTAGTAGTAGTGGTACCATCTCCAGGAAGCTGGATCATTCTGAGGTGCTGAAGCAAATGACACATCTGAACCGGCTTATGAAATAAAAAGCAAAAAGGTTCAAAAAGTCATCGTGTCATTTCTCCAGCTGCAGATTTGTTCTGGCCCTACATCTGAACAGGGTGTAACGTAGCTGCTTTCTGCTGCAATTAGAACATGAAGATGGTATATTATTCAGAGAAAGGTCACTCCTTAAATCCAGAGGTGACTGAGGTAAGCTGCAGTCTGCCTCCACTGGTAAACCACTGAACAGACTATCTGCAAATTGTGCAGATTTTATTTGCATACACTGTATAGTGTATGTATTGTGTTTTAACATTATGATACTAAGATTTATTTTAAACTGAAAATACTTGATGTTATTCATTAAGACATATTATTAATATGGGGAATAAGCTTAAATTCTGAAGCCACAAATGAGATTTGTTTTGGTATGGTGGCTCCAAAAGAGATAAATATAAAGCATTCAGTTTGATTCACCCAAATATCCTACGGCATAATATGACCCTAAAGCTATAATTGGAAGGTTTACCACATACATGTGTACTGTATGAATACAGTTGAATGTGTGTTTGACATTGCTGAAGATTTTCCATCCCTCTTTATACATTTGACATTGTTGGAGTAACGTGTTGTCTCCAAACATTCTTCCCCATTACTATTTTATCCATAGGCATATCCGAGAAGTGGATGTCAAAATCAAAGGATATTTTTTAAGCAAATAGTTTGCTAATGAAGATTTATTTTATTGGTTTTACATATGTGCCTAAGGTTAAAGGGCGATTGTTTTTATGTTTGCTCCTTTCATCACAACAGATTTTCTATATTGTACAACAGTTTTTGGTTTGATCTTCATCGCGCTGTGTTTAAAGCGCCCAGTTGCACCATTTCTCTTAAGTGGAATGTCTCCTCTTCCCTTCCCCATTGGATCCAAAATAGTCTTTCCCAGTATTGATACTAATGGAAAAAGCGATCAGCTCTGCATTTGTGGTACAAATGGGATCTGATTAGTTGCTTTCTGATCTCTTGTTTGGGCTTTGCTGCCATATAAAAAAAAAAAGAATCCCAAGACATTCTGAGTAGATGAAACTGATTAATGTTGTGAAACAAAAGGTCGATGCTCTCAAAAACATCGGTCACTGACCTGAGCGCTGTGTCATGTTGATAAGCTGCTCCTTAGATGTGTTTAGTTAATCTGCGAGGAGGTTTTCTGATGTTGGCGACTGGCACCTTCTCTTGCATGATAGAAGGATCGCACAGCATTCAATAATGGGGGTGACTAGACTGGGTTCATATTCTGCTGTGCCTTTGAACTGAAATGAAAAAGTTTTGTGAATTTTCAGGATGCATTTCTCTGCATCTGCAATATATTCACAGGTGAATCCTTAATTGTCTACCTGGTTTCACATCGTTCATTCATCAGCATCTCGGTGTGCCTGTCTGGTATTTACAACTTCCTGCTATCTCAGATGGTTTGGTTCATCAATGCTACCATGATGTGTCCTCTTGTCTTTAAGGATTGTTTCTTTCAGTTTGAAATGCACTGCTGTCCAGTTAGTTCTTACCCTGTGTTAAATGTGTGCATCAACTTTGCCATTGAAAGTGAGTGTCTGGGAAGACAAAATGTACAGAAATAAAAATAATTGAACCCTTTCTAGCCGTATCATATATTTCTTTGTCGACAGTACTTGGGTTGGGAAATCCAATTAAGGTGTATCTGGATTTTATAATAATACCATGTCTGATTTATTACATTAAGACGGTATGCTTTTGTATCACAAGTTTTCTGAAATGCATGTTTAAATTATATTGGGCATTATTTTATGCTATTTGCATACATTCCAAGATCCTGATACCTACAAATTAAAAAGACCTGTAGGAAGATACATTTCACACTCCCCAAAAGATTTCGGCGAACATTTGGAGTAATTAAGTCACATTATATGGAAGCTGATAAAACGAAAATGATCATGTCAATAAAAAAACTGCAGCATGTTTTGAAACGATATTCATATCATATAACAGAAGAAAAAAAACTAGAAACAATGAAAGAGTGGTGTGTCCTATTTATTCAGGGGAGTAATGCTTTGGGTTGTTGACATTTGAGCTATTGAAAAATAAATTAAGACTTCAATAAAGTAACTGTTGAATTTAAATTCAATAAAATAAGTCCTAAAATCCAACAAAAAGAAGTGTGGCCTACTTGACCAGTGTGGTGATAATGCATGTCATAGATTAGGATCAAATGAGTCACATAAAGTGGAAGCTATTAAAAGGAATTTGATTAATTAATGATTCATAATATTTATTTTTCATTTTTATTGTAGAAGGTGGACTAAAGTTCACTAAAAGTAAGTGTCCTTCTTTTCCAGTGTAGTAATAATGATTAATTGGGATCCGAAAAAGTCATGACATTAGAAACTTAAAGAAATTAGACTTTTCAACAAAATAATGCTGAATTTTCATAAAAAATGAAGGATTAACTAATGCAGTGGTGCATCAAACATTTAAAAACAATTATTGACAGAAAATTCATTTTCCTAGCAATTTTTTCACCTGTTATCAATTCATAAATACAATATATAATTTAGGTTAGGTTTAGACTAACCTAGAATAGATCACCAGATTTTCTTTTCACTTGCCTCTGTGCGTTCACACCTGCCTTGTATAGTCCGGTTGAATCGAACCCTGGTGCGTTTAGCCGCTTGGTGCGGTTCATTTGGGTCGGTGTGAACGCAGTCCGAGACCTCTTAAGTGAACTAAACAACCGGACTCTGGTCCGCTAAAATAGGTGGTCTCGGAACGCTTGCTTGCGAACTCTGGAGCGGTTCATTGCTGGTGTGAACGCAGTCCGCACCAAAACATACGAAGCGTATAGTATTTACGTGTCACAAGAACGCGGATGTCTTCAAAAATCTTCAGCGAAAGAGTCTTTCAAGACATCCACGGTTGTTTAGTTAAAGAGTGAAGCAGAATTAAGTGTTGAACAGTGTTGTGTAAAGTAAAAATTCTCCGTCAGCTACATAAAAGTAAGAACACCTGTCGTCTGTGAAACCTCTTCCTTGCTGCAGAACGTCTCTCATTATGTTATAATGTTTTTTAACGGACGTTGTCTGATTATATAATCATATGTGCGGGCCGCTAGTGTCTGTTGATCTCCACCTGCCGAAAGTGCCGATGCTCCATGGCGGAGGCTTCGGTAGAAATTGCCGGGATTTGCGTTTTTACCCCCTTAATGTCTGACCAATGGTTGAACAGCATTTCCGTGCACATGACTTGTGTTTAAAATGTATAATCCGTTTGAGTTTTGCCCGTGTGAACCTTTATATATACAGCCTATGGTGTGAACGCAAACCGAACCTTCTGAAAAATGAAACAATGTAACAAACTGTCGTCTGGTGCGCACCAGAAAACGGACTATTAGGTGTGAGTGTGAATGAGCTTCCATAGTGCTGGGGGGGGGGGGGGCGGGGGTAAAAGTGATATTTGGGAAGTGGGCTACAGGATCTAAAGAGAGAAACATCGGTGGACTGACATTACAAGGTCACTTTAATGTTATCTAATATACATCAGGTAACTACTGGCATATTTTATTTTGTATTTCCTCTGATAGTCATGTGAAAACAAATTGTGACATTTGGAACAGGCGTGTAAAGAGCAACATTTGTCTGCCTGCCCTGCAGTAAACCAAAGGTCTGAACCGTTAGTGCTATTTTTAGCCTGGCTGCTATGTTGGACCCATAGCTTCATGTTGAACGAAGGGGGTAAACCCATAAACAGGTGGGACGGCTGAGTGCTGCAAAAACATCTTGGCTGTTGTTTATTTATTTAATTTAATTTAAAACCTTTATTTAACCAGATTGGTCCCATTAGCCGCGTTCACACCGCATACTTTGCAGTACTTAGTGCCCCGGCACTAAGGGCACTAAGTAGGCTACCAATCGCGTTCACACCAAGCCCCCAGGAAGTGCGCCGGACTCAGATGAAAATATTCGTGCTGGCCAAACGGCGGTACTACACTTCCGTTTGGTTGCCAGGCCCGGAAACACTTTTTCCCATTGACTTACATGCATGGATGTATAATAAGAACTGGATACAGCGTGGGAGGCGGGGCCTCATTCATTCCTATGAGAGTTGCTTAGAGTTGACTTACATACAGATGCTGTTTGAGAAACCAATGTGAGTTGCGTTTATCTTTACCCATGGATGCACAATAAGAACGGACCCATATCGTCTTACTGCCATCCCACGGAGCTGTAATAATGGATATATTGCACATGTTTGCTGTAATTCATTATCATACTACATGGGCTGTATGATTAAATCTTGTACCGTAAATGTTGTATTAAATAATGTTAATATTACTTATTATTATAAGTATATGTATATATATATATATATATACAGTGCAATCATTCTTTCATGCTAAATGAAGCTCTGTTGCTTGGATATCACTAGATCCTGTTACAGCGTAATATAAGTACATAACGATTGATGTCACATTAGCATAATTACTAGCTAGCCGCTAGCTGCTAACTGCCGCCTCGTTAATATCAAATCCATGATAACAACTGTCACTACCCGATCCGTCCCCCTGCCCGATCGGTACTGCGCATGTGCGAGATGGTCCGCCATATTGGACAACTCCGGACGGCATCCCAAGATGGACACTTGACACAGTGGCTTTTAGCAAAGCTCAAAAATAAAACGAGAGATAGATGAGTTATTGTTATTACAACGTGACTTCACTATTATTTAACAACTCTTTTTATTGGGTTCTTTTATTTGGGGTTAAGTACATTGTCAGAATAAGTGAGAAGTTAAAGGAGACATGTCATGGCCATTTCCACTGATCATAATTCCATTGTTGAGGTCTACTAGAATAGATTTATACTGTGCAATTTTCCAAACGTGTATTCATTCTCTCCACTAAACAGCTCGTTGCCCCCTGGTCGGGACCAGTCGGGACGTTGTAAATCGCGCTAAGCTCCGTGGAGGTGTGATTTCCTTGTTTTGTTTAGCGATAACAGCTAAACACAGCCAAACTCACCCTGAGCCCACACAAAGTCACAGCCGAAGTAAAAACAATAAGTGTGGCTTGATATCGAGTAAGAAAAAGACTGATAAACGGTGTGAGAATGGGTCTGCAGAGAGAATTTCGCCGCGATCCCAACTGTCTGTTATCAGCCAGGGAGGAGAGATCAGCAGAGCTGCATGCACTGAGTGTGTGAGGATTGAGGAAGTCCGTGGATTGGTCAATTTGGACCAATCAGCGGGGGCTTAACGTAACGGCTCCGCGGACGTAACGTAACGGCTCCACGGATTGGTCCATTTCGTTCCGGGTACGACATGACATCAGATGTCCCCGGAAGAATCAAATGGATGATGACGTTTCACCAACGAGGCGTTTTGGGGAGGTATTTTCTGTATTAGAGTTTACTCGCTACATGGTGTACTTTGAGGGTTTTGACTCTGCACACCGTTTACATGCATAAAAACCTTCATAACACACAAGGGGACGGGTAATAACCGGAAAAGCATGACATGTGACTTCTGTTAGACAGCCATATGCCATACATGTTTGCATACATTCACAGTCAATATGTATTCAGTATGATAGCTGTCTAACAGAAGTTAAATTATATACATTTATATATATCTATGGTGACAACAACAGCCATTACCATGCTGTCATGAACGCGCGGTGCTGTTACTCGTACGCAAATTGACGTGCTTGATGTGAACGAGCATTTTGGTTAAAGTTGCGCATGCTCTATGAGTGCACATACGGGTACTTCTCAGGCATGCCGGGTAATCTGTGACGTTTCACTCTCTCAAAAGTTGGGCCATTTTATCATCATGCGCTAATCGGCGCTAATGAGCAACTCTCATAGGAATGAATGAGGCCCCGCCTCCCACGCTGTATCCAGTTCTTATTATACATCCATGGACAAAACTTTTCAGAGTTTTACGGGGCGTGGTTTACAATTCGCCCAGCCAATCAGGACTGGTGCACTTTTCCCCCCCAGGATAGTACCACCTCTCCAGCGCGCGCTGCACCTCTAGCAGGCACTAAAAATCGGGGTAAAAGTTCCCGGCACCAGGTACTCTTTTTGGTGTGAACGCAACATAAGGAACTAAAGGGGAAAAGTACTCCGGTGTGAACGCGGCTATTGAGATAGATCTCTTTTTCAAGGGAGACCTGCAGCATATTGGTTCCACATGAAACATAAAACAATAAAGGACATCATACATTATATTTACAGGATACATTTACATAGTTATAGACATTTACAAGTGCCCATAGTATCAACGAGCATTTCATTTAGCCTAGCTTTAAAAACATGCAGAGGAATGAGATTGCTCAGTTTCAATTCTTGCTGAAGATTGTTCCAAGCAAGTGGAGCTGCGCACATAAAAGCTGTCTTACCTAAGACAGTCCTTGCTCTTGGCACATCTAACAATACTACATCATGCGATCTCAGACAATAGCTGCTTGCAACTCTCTGTGTTATCTGAGAGCAGATATAATACGGGAGTTTACCCAACAAAGCTTTATAAATAAACGTGTACTAATGTACTCCGTACAGTAAGTGATGGCAAACCTGCCTTGGCATACAGGATACAGTGATGTGTAAGTGCTTTACAATTTGTGACAAATATCAGTGCGCTGTGATAGGCGGCATTAAAACTTAGGTTAGATAGGTAAATATATGGTCTCCAATGCTTTTCAAACTTTCGCTCAGAAAACAAACATTGTCTTTGCTTGAACTTTAAAGTTGCAATGTTTTGCGGTAATCTTTCCGATTTGGATAAAACGTTTGCCGTGTGTTCAGCGGTCCAGTAGAAATAATTTAAAATGTTAAAAAAAACTGCCAATTAATTTGCTCTTCCTCTATTTATGTTTTTTTCCCTGGCACCTGTCTGCAGTGCAACGATGAAGCTGACTCTGTTGTGTCTGTCCCTTTTTTTGGTTCATATTCATTTTTCATTGGCCAAGAAAACCGTAAGTCTTGGTAAGATAAATCTTTTTAAGAAGACCCCCAAAACAAATAACCAGCCGAAACAACCTAATCAACCAAGCAGACCAGGACGTTACCCTAATCAAGGAGGCTACCCTAATCAAGGAGGCTACCCTAATCAAGGAGGCTACCCTAATCAAGGTGGTTACCCCCAGCAACCAGGGCGACCAGGTGGTTACCCTAATCAAGGTGGTTACCCTAATCAAGGAGGCTACCCTAATCAAGGTGGTTACCCCCAGCGACCAGGGGGTTACCCTAATCAAGGAAGTTTCGCCCAGCAGCCAGGATACCCAGCTGGGAGCTATCCAGCTGGAGGTTACCCAGCACACGGTGGTGGTTATGGCGGTTACGGTGGTCCTCCAGGTGGATACATGAACTATAACCCAAACAACAAAGTCCTAAGCCCACAATATGGTGGCAGTTTTGGATATGGGGGCTATGGTGGTGGGGGTGGCTCTCCCTTTTCCCACTCAGTTCAGTCAATGGGCATGTATCCCTCTGATAGGTCCAGAGGGTTTGGACGCAGTGCAGTGGTGGCAGCAGCTGGAGGGGCTATGGTGGGGATGGCTCTGGGCTACGGGCTAGGGAGGTTCCCCCGTCCCCCCTTCAACTTCCACAACTCCCAGGAGGAGCAGTACTACAACAACTATATGTACAGGAAATATGGTTCCAAGTCCACTGATGCCAACGACTACAGCAGAGACTACAAATACATCCAACCTCCTGAAACCTATGATAGCTACATGGACTCCTGCATGAAGAGAACAGACATTCTGCCTGCGGGGAATCCAAAAACAAACAATAATCCAGCTGCTACCACCTCAACAACAACTACAACTGCTATTGCAACTACCAAGACTACTTCTGTAAATATCACAACTACTGCGGTCCCAGACTCTGGCATTGACAGCAACACAACACAATCTAACAGCACTGCAGGAGAAAGTCCCTTGACCACTGCACCTTCAACTCAACACCCTCTAAATGAGTCAGGAGCCGATCCTCTGCCTACAGCTGCACAGGTTTTCAGAAAACATGTCAATGATGATAATGATGATGACGATACAGTCAGCATTGTGGAGATCGGTTACCCGGCATTGATTGAGCAGCTGAAGGCCAGGAGGTGTGTAGAGCTGTACATAGCCTACTCTGAAAAGTACTTGAAGAAAAAGGATAAGCCCAGCACCACAGCCGGTGGGGTGCAGCGACTGGAGATGGGCTTGCAAGGGCTTTTAGCTGTTGTCACCAGTACAACAATGATGCTTCTCAATAGCAACATGCATATGCTGCTCTACTAAGGCCTTCAGTAACAGTTATATTGGTAGAAACTTCAGTTTTCTGGAGTCTAGTAGAGTCTGGCTTGGAAGAGAGTATAGGTAACAGTTTCAGTTCCAATTTGGAAAGATTTGCAAGTATTCTAAAAGTAGAGTATACTCATATTTATTCATTTCTTAGTTAAGCTTTCCTTTTGAGTACTAAAAAATGTTTCACTGACTGCATTGGTTTCTGCAAATGTTTACCTGCTAACTGTCATCTACTGTAAATAACATAATGACTATGTATAAGTACTTTGTCCAACCCAACTTCAAACTCAACCATCCCTTCAGCTTAGATTTCTGAATGAAATCGGCTGTTTGTTTGTCCAGACTGAAATGATCATGTGTGCTGATATATGTGGAGGATTACGTTTTTGAAAGATGGTCATAATAAATCATACTTATCATGGTACCACCCTAAACTGAGATGGTGAACATGGTAAATATTGTGAGCATGTTAGCAGGCTGACATTGAACTAGAAGCACCACTGTTCTTAAATACGGCCTAACAGAGCATGAGCTGCTGTAGACTCAGACTCGTTTAATTTATTTATGCCACCTGTCCAGTGTCAGTGTCCCGAGGGGATTAGTTTGCACCATGGGGCTCGTACTCTGTCATGGTGATCTGCGTGAATAAATAGCTGGAGAGAATGGAGATGTGCTTTAAATAGGAAACAGTAATTGAGTTAACTCAATTTTACATTGTAAGTTTAACAGAGTATCTGGTCAATGGTTCACATGGTTGTACATGACATAACACCCTTTATGCCAACATCATTAAATGGGAAAAAAAACTGCCCTACACAGACACACACACATATTGTGCTTATGTAGCTTCTGATTGCAGAAGTTCTACAAGATCTCTCATTCATTATTTATTGCAAGAGTAGTAAAACAATATATTCATAACAAAGTGTAGTATTACTTTCAGAAAGCCACAATAATCAGAATATACAACTAATTATTTACGACGTATTTGATCTGATGTATCAACTAAAATAAAGTTTTTGTTTTTTACTGTCATGACTGCTTCCTATTTTATAGAAACTTGATTTCAGGTTCATATAGTGATACAGTTTTCAAGTTTGTATTGCAGGACTTACAAGGGCCAGCAGGTGGTGTCATCAACTGTATTCATTAAAGGAAGAAATGCAATGAGCTCCCTGTTCTGGCTATTTGTGTCATCTAGTTAAACATAAACCTTTTTTTTTTTTAACCCAAAGGATTTGGCATTAATGTAAAACATTTGAAATCTTTGAACCCCTATGTTCTTGGGCATTTTTTACATTAGAAAAAAAAAGAAAGGAAACTTGAATATGTAATGCAAGGAAATGACCATTTCTGGCTCAAAAACTAATTTCGATTAACGTCCATTAAAGAGATGTATTGTGAATTATAGGGGGAACAGTACAACTCAACAATAGATATCCCCATGAAACTTACACAGTTGATTACTTATATTAGGATAATGTAGTTTAAAAAAAAAATCATCATGGATACAATTATTCTTTTTTATAATTAAACAAAAATAATTAGTTTCCTGACATCTGGTGAATTTAGAAGAAATGTGAGAACGCAAATATACCAAGTGTAGTAAAATAAACACCCTCAGATGTATTCTTGAATATTTTCCATCCACTAGTTTGAAAGAAGACATGTTAAGGAAGCAAAATTCCCAAATGGACCAGTGTATGAAAAACACGGTGTTTTTACCTGTAGTGTTCCACCTTCAGTGCGTTTGCCTCCACGTGTATGTCCGTTGTATTTACTTAGGCATGGGGATTTTCCTCTGGGTTGAAGCTTATTATACATCCATGGGTTGAAGGCGTTGAAGGATGCTGGGAAATGTGTCAAATGAAGCCCCGCCCCTAGCGACCCTCTTGTCTTACGTCATATGAAATCATCTAGTATCCTAGAGACGTTTCAGGTCCATCAACACTTCGCTGCTGGGCACGACCTGCGGGACTTCACGGCCCGTCTACACTACAGGCGTCAAAAAATGCTTTCAACGCTTCGCCCATTCATTTGAATGGGGTGACGTAGGATATTTTTCAAACTTCACCGAACTGCATTGTGGGTAGCATGGCAAGGCGTTGCAAGCATCGCGAGCGTCTATCGGCGTCAAAAGTTGAACAATGTTCAACTTTGTTGACAATGTTCAACTTTTGAGGCTCGATGCTTGCTCGAAGCTGGCGTCAGCCAATCAAATCCCGTTTTTGCAATTCCCGTCAGTACAAGCGCTAGCCAATCAAACCGCGTGCAAGCTGGGAGAGCCAGACCGCAGTTCATTTCCTCATATTCCAAACGAGAAATTACTGTAGCAAATCACCCAGTTCTTTCCGACCAGAACTATTTACCGGATACAAACCGGAGGAACCAGCACGGAGGGAGGTGGCAGAGACAGTGGGTGAAACTGATAGGTTTTCGCCTGTTTGGGGATTTTATATCCAGTTTACTTTGTTTTAACATTGCTATTGCTTTGTATGTCGGCGGCGGGAGATTCATGTGATTGGTTGTTGGTCGCGTTGCTCGCAAAAAATCGCCAAGCTTCAGACACGCCCAGCTTCAAGATTTGTTTATGCCTGTAGTGTAGACGGGCTGAGGCTGAACAACACGCAGAAAAACAGAAAAACTGTCACCAGTCCGGGTAAGACGAGTCCTTTATTTAAAGTAACCGCGCACTATCCATTTAACGCTGCTTTTGGGATTGAAAGGCACCTTGTATTTACCTCATGCGACTGTAGTAAAACCGTAGCTCAACCCAGTGTGTTTATCTTGATAACTCTACATTTGCGACGCCATGTTTTAACGGGATAAATGCAGTCGCAGTAGGCAGGCCACACTAACATGATTGCTCAGTCAACACAAGATCAGTAGTATACTCTTTCTAGGTCTAGAGTAGGCTATGTAATGTGTTTTATAAATAATAAAACCCGTGCCTGGTTGGTTTAGTCTAGAGCTGTCTTTTTGTTGACGTTTCCGCAGCATATTACTTATTGTGGTATCACTATGCAACCTTCCCCCCATCTGTTATTGTGTCCTGCTGCTGCCACACCTGGGGCCTATACGACGAAGCTGGTTCAACCTAACCTGGATATGTTTGAGTTAGCCGGTTGGCCTAATCCAAAACATACGCGCTCTCGCTAAACTGTACTACGACGCTGGTTATCAAGTGAATCGCTCAAGCCAGCCATGTCCTATCTAGTTAGGTGCGCGTTCACATGAAAGGGGTGGTATTTGGAGCATTCGACCAATCACAAACATAGAGAAGCGTACTGACAGCGCTGCGTCATACTTCCTGAATGAAAAGTGAACTATAATATTAGACATATGAAGAAGTTCAACTTTAAACATCCATGACTTAAACACTTGATCCAGGATCAACGCCACATAGTTGCACCTGCAAGGTGAATACAGCTGGTAACATAAAAGTGTTTGAATGCGTACATTAACAGGTTTATGATATCACTGCCCCGTCTAAAACACGATCTGACTTTAATTACATTTGTCTCGAGTGTTTCGTCAACTTAATGTGTTGCTTAAAATAATACTTCTGCATACAGTATGTGACACTGTGAGTGTTGCACGGCCAGATACGGCTCAAGAAGCTGACTCAGATAAGAAAATATAAGATACAGATGTGATAGGATGTGATATGAATGATAATGGGACACATCGACGTCTGCACTCAGTGCCCCGGACTGTACGTAATGTTACTTTGATCCGGTTACTTTTGTTGTGGCAGATATTTAAGTAAGCTTTCTTAACGCTAATGTTATAATAGTCAGATTGCTCTGAAGATGGGAGGTGATATTCTATTAATGTTCACGTTCACACAGTCGGTGATTTTTGCCGGCCGTCTTTCCTGCGACGGCAGCTTTTCTGTATTTCCTTTCTCCTGTAATATGACTTGATCGCTTTAAACTCCGCACATTGAGCTCTGATTGGTCAGCAGGCAGTGCTTTCACTGAGTTGAGCTCTTAGCCTGCGACCTAACCTGGTCCCGACCAGGTTAGCCGCTAAGCATAAGTTACCATGGAGATCTAGCCTGCTATAAAGAGAACCAGCTTAGTAGGACCGGAAAGCCGGAGTTTCCCCTGAATTTAGCTCGCTAAGCGAAAATCCTGCTTCGTAGTATACCCCCCTGTTCCTAGCCATACTGACTGGTTAGATTGAGGGACGGGGTATTACTATACTAAAATAACCAAATATATTATGTTTATATAATGTTTAGTCTTGAAAAAAATCCAAATGTGGAAAGTAACCAAACCTATTAATGAAGTGAAGTAAAACACTATAATAGCCATTATGTAGTGGATTAGGAGGAGAAAGTGGCATGACAGAAAATATTCATCACATGTACCTTACATTTGAATTTAAACATAACCTTATGCTTACATTGACCAATGGAAACTGCAAAAGGCATTTATAGCTTTTGTTTGAAACAGTACAATTATAATCCAGGAGTGAGTGGATTGACAATAGATTACACTATGACCTTAACTGTCAGATAAAACAAGGAATTTAAAGACATCATGATGTCATGATGAAGTTATTTTCTCTTTGATAAAAAAAGAAAAAAATACAATTGTTGTAGCCCTGAATTAAATTCTGTATCATAATATTTGTAATTGTATATGATCATATTGATTTATTGTGATAGATACAAGAGATATTGACAACAACAATGTCAATCATAATCATATTATAAAACCAGAAAATTCCAAAATTGTATTTCTTCATTTTCCCTTCTCTCCCTGACCCTCTCTACAGGGCGAAGATGAAGCTGCATCCATTACCTCTGCTGTGTCTGTCCCTTCTTTTGTTTCATTTATCAATGGCCAAGAGAGGAGGCAGCTTTGGGAAAAGCTTCGGCTCAAAAAAGAAGGGCTCCACACCTAAACGAGGCAACACTAACACCAACACAAATAATCAGGGCTCCAACTCTCAGGCTGGATACCCCAGACAGCCTGTGAAAACCAATCAGCATCCGCAGTCAGGCAGACCGGGGTATCCAGGTAGTTACCCCCGGCAGCCGGCTGGAGGCTACCAGAACCAAGCAGGGGGCTCCTATGGAGGAGGATACATGAACAGAAACCCAAACAACAAAGTCCTGAGCCCACAATATGGTGGCAGTTTTGGACACGGGGGCTATGGTGGTGGGGGTGGCTCTCCCTTTTCCCACTCAGTTCAGTCAATGGGCATGTATCCCTCTGATAGGTCCAGAGGGTTTGGACGCAGTGCAGTGGTGGCAGCAGCTGGAGGGGCTATGGTGGGGATGGCTCTGGGCTACGGGCTAGGGAGGTTCCCCCGTCCCCCCTTCAACTTCCACAACTCCCAGGAGGAGCAGTACTACAACAACTATATGTACAGGAAATATGGTTCCAAGTCCACTGATGCCAACGACTACAGCAGAGACTACAAATACATCCAACCTCCTGAAACCTATGATAGCTACATGGACTCCTGCATGAAGAGAACAGACATTCTGCCTGCGGGGAATCCAAAAACAAACAATAATCCAGCTGCTACCACCTCAACAACAACTACAACTGCTATTGCAACTACCAAGACTACTTCTGTAAATATCACAACTACTGCGGTCCCAGACTCTGGCATTGACAGCAACACAACACAATCTAACAGCACTGCAGGAGAAAGTCCCTTGACCACTGCACCTTCAACTCAACACCCTCTAAATGAGTCAGGAGCCGATCCTCTGCCTACAGCTGCACAGGTTCTCAGAAAACATGTCAATGATGATAATGATGATGACGATACAGTCAGCATTGTGGAGATCGGTTACCCGGCATTGATTGAGCAGCTGAAGGCCAGGAGGTGTGTAGAGCTGTACATAGCCTACTCTGAAAAGTACTTGAAGAAAAAGGATAAGCCCAGCACCACAGCCGGTGGGGTGCAGCGACTGGAGATGGGCTTGCAAGGGCTTTTAGCTGTTGTCACCAGTGATGCTTCTCAATAGCAACATGCATATGCTGCTCTACTAAGGCCTTCAGTAGCAGTTATATTGGTAGAAACTTCAGTTTTCTGGAGTCTAGTAGAGTCTGGCTTGGAAGAGAGTATAGGTAACAGTTTCAGTTCCAATTTGGAAAGATTTGCAAGTATTCTAAAAGTAGAGTATACTCATATATATTCATTTCTTAGTTAAGCTTTCCTTTTGAGTACTAAAAAATGTTTCATTGACTGCATTGGTTTCTCCAAATGTTTACCTGCTAACTGTCATCTACTGTAAATAACATAATGACTATGTATAAGTACTTTGTCCAACCCAACTTCAAACTCAACCATCCCTTCAGCTTAGATTTCTGAATGAAATCGGCTGTTTGTTTGTCCAGACTGAAATGATCATGTGTGCTGATATATGTGGAGGATTACGTTTTTGAAAGATGGTCATAATAAATCATACTTATCATGGTACCACCCTAAACTGAGATGGTGAACATGGTAAATATTGTGAGCATGTTAGCAGGCTGACATTGAACTAGAAGCACCACTGTTCTTAAATACGGCCTAACAGAGCATGAGCTGCTGTAGACTCAGACTCGTTTAATTTATTTATGCCACCTGTCCAGTGTCAGTGTCCCGAGGGGATTAGTTTGCACCATGGGGCTCGTACTCTGTCATGGTGATCTGCGTGAATAAATAGCTGGAGAGAATGGAGATGTGCTTTAAGTAGGAAACAGTAATTGAGTTAACTCAATTTTACATTGTAAGTTTAACAGAGTATCTGGTCAATGGTTCACATGGTTGTACATGACATAACACCCTTTATGCCAACATCATTAAATGGGGAAAAAACTGCCCTACACAGACACACACACATATTGTGCTTATGTAGCTTCTGATTGCAGAAGTTCTACAAGATCTCTCATTCATTATTTGTTGCAAGAGTAGTAAAACAATATATTCATAACAAAGTGTAGTATTACTTTCAGAAAGCCACAATAATCAGAATATACAACTAATTATTTACGACGTATTTGATCTGATGTATCAACTAAAATAAAGTTTTTGTTTTTTACTGTCATGACTGCTTCCTATTTTATAGAAACTTGATTTCAGGTTCATATAGTGATACAGTTTTCAAGTTTGTATTGCAGGACTTACAAGGGCCAGCAGGTGGTGTCATCAACTGTATTCATTAAAGGAAGAAATGCAATGAGATCCCTGTTCTGGCTATTTGTGTCATCTAGTTAAACATAAACCTTTTTTTTTTTTTAATCCAAAGGATTTGGCATTAATGTAAAACATTTGAAATCTTTGAACCCCTACAGGGTGTCCGCGGGGTCTTAAAAAGTATTAAAAGTTGATAAATCAATTTAGCGAAAATTAAGGCTATTAAAAAGTATTAAACGGCATTTTCCAAGGTATTAAGAAGGTCCACAGCAACGACAACATGAAACACCCTTTAATTTACTGAAACAACATGTCGGGAAACCCCCTCACGGTGGCCCCATGCATAGCGTGCCATAAAATGCTGCTTCTTCTTTTAAGTTTCGTTGCCTTGCTCTGTGGGAGGGGGGTTGGTTATCTGCTGGTGGACTACCTGAGAGATATACAGCAGGAGAACACGCCGTCCACCGCGGAGAATAAACAGAAGGGCAACCATGCTCCGGGGTCTTCTTCGCTGCTTTTGGTGTATTTTGTGGCGGCAGCAGCGCCACTTACAGGCCTGGCATATGTACTACAGCGTTTCCAGCATTTCCAGCGGTCTAGTGTGAACGGACACGTTAATGAATCGAATGCGTGTGAACGGAAGACTTTTTTGCGTTTGCGTATGTGTTTTACTGTGTGGGGCCGGGGTCTAAGCCAAACTATATCCGGTCACAGAGATCTGCTATTTTAAAGTAAGGTCAACACATATCGACCCTAAATATAGTCTATATTAAGAACGAGAAAAGTCTTAACATATATATCGTTTTTTGTAAACATATGACAAATGTGTGAGGGTGATGACGTCAGAGCATCGTCCTAAGTGCCGGGCTTAGCCCCGGCCCAATTTAACCCCTGGGTATTTGTGAGGGAGCTCCCATATGGCATTACCCCGCTGAAGCTCACCAAAGTTTAATATATTTCATAGTTCAAAGTTTTGTCAATTGTTTTATTTATTGGTCAAATACTGGTTTCTAATGGTTTCTGAGGAGTTTTACTGGAATGAAAGAGCACAGATTACAGAAGCAACAAAGCAGCATACTGCATTAAACCTGACCTTCACAGAGAGGTTGAAGTTCATGTGGAGAGGAGGCTTCAGTAGTCTGTCTGCACTCTGTTTAGTTGTGCTATCTTACAATCAATATAGTAAATGTGAGGTAAAGTGTGTCGCCAATGTAACCGGTTAGAACTCGAAGTTGCGATGAGGTCTTAAAATGTATGGAAAGGGTCTTAAAAAAGGTCTTAAAAGGTATTACATTTGACTTCAGGATTCCTGCATATACCCTGCCCTATGTTCTTGGGCATTTTTTACATTAGAAAAAAAAAGAAAGGAAACTTGAATATTTAATGCAAGGAAATAACCATTTCTGGCTCAAAAACTAATTTCGATTAACGTCCATTAAAGAGATGTATTGTGAATTATAGGGGGAACAGTACAACTCAACAATAGATATCCCCATGAAACTTACACAGTTGATTACTTATATTAGGATAATGTAGTTTTAAAAAAAAATCATCATGGATACAATTATTCTTTTTTATAATTAAACAAAAATAATTAGTTTCCTGACATCTGGTGAATTTAGAAGAAATGTGAGAACGCAAATATACCAAGTGTAGTAAAATAAACACCCTCAGATGTATTCTTGAATATTTTCCATCCACTAGTTTGAAAGAAGACATGTTAAGGAAGCAAAATTCCCAAATGGACCAGTGTATGAAAAACACGGTGTTTTTACCTGTAGTGTTCCACCTTCAGTGCGTTTGCCTCCACGTGTATGTCCGTTGTATTTACTTAGGCATGGGGATTTTCCTCTGGGTTGAAGCTTATTATACATCCATGGGTTGAAGGCGTTGAAGGATGCTGGGAAATGTGTCAAATGAAGCCCCGCCCCTAGCAATATATCTTACGTCATATGAAATCATCCAGTATCCTAGAGACGTTTCAGGTCCATCAACACTTCGCTGCTGGGCACGACCTGCGGGACTCTGAGGCTGAACAACACGCAGAAAAACAGAAAAACTGTCACCAGTCCGGGTAAGACGAGTCCTTTATTTAAACTAACCGCACACTATCCATTTAACGCTGCTTTTGGGATTGAAAGGCACCTTGTATTTACCTCATGCGACTGTAATAAAACCGTAGCTCAACCCAGTGTGTTTATCTTAATAACTCTACATTTGCGACGCCATGTTTTAACGGGATAAATGCAGTCGCAGTAGGCAGGCCACACTAACATGATTGCTCAGTCAACACAAGGTCAGTAGTATACTCTTTCTAGGTCTAGAGTAGGCTATGTAATGTGTTTTATAAATAATAAGACCCGTGCCTGGTTGGTTTAGTCTAGAGCTGTCTTTTTGTTGACGTTTCCGCAGCATATTACTTATTGTGGCATCACTATGCAACCTTCCCCCCATCTGTTATTGTGTCCTGCTGCTGCCACACCTGTTCCTAGCCATACTGACTGGTTAGATTGAAGGACGGGGTATTACTATACTAAAATAACCAAATATATTATGTTTATATAATGTTTAGTCTTGAAAAAAATCCAAATGTGGAAAGTAACCAAGCCTATTAATGAAGTGAAGTAAAACACTATAATAGCCATTATGTAGTGGATTAGGAGGAGAAAGTGGCATGACAGAAAATATTCATCACATGTACCTTACATTTGAATTTAAACATAACCTTATGCTTACATTGACCAATGGAAACTGCAAAAGGCATTTATAGCTTTTGTTTGAAACAGTACAATTATAATCCAGGAGTGAGTGGATTGACAATAGATTACACTATGACCTTAACTGTCAGATAAAACAAGGAATTTAAAGACATCATGATGTCATGATGAAGTTATTTTCTCTTTGATAAAAAAAGAAAAAAATACAATTGTTGTAGCCCTGAATTAAATTCTGTATCATAATATTTGTAATTGTATATGATCATATTGATTTATTGTGATAGATACAAGAGATATTGACAACAACAATGTCAATCATAATCATATTATAAAACCAGAAAATTCCAAAATTGTATTTCTTCATTTTCCCCTTCTCTCCCTGACCTCTCTACAGGGCGAAGATGAAGCTGCATCCATTACCTCTGCTGTGTCTGTCCCTTCTTTTGTTTCATTTATCAATGGCCAAGAGAGGAGGCAGCTTTGGGAAAAGCTTCGGCTTCGGCTCAAAAAAGAAGGGCTCCACACCTAACCGAGGCAACACTAACACCAACAAAAATAATCAGGGCTCCAACTCTCAGGCTGGATACCCCAGACAGCCTGTGAAAACCAATCAGCATCCGCAGTCAGGCAGACCGGGGTATCCAGGTAGTTACCCCCGGCAGCCGGCTGGAGGCTACCAGAACCAAGCAGGGGGCTCCTATGGAGGAGGATACATGAACAGAAACCCAAACAACAAAGTCCTGAGCCCACAATATGGTGGCAGTTTTGGACACGGGGGCTATGGAGCTCGGGGTGGCTCTCCCTTTTCCCACTCAGTTCAGTCAATGGGCATGTATCCCTCTGATAGGTCCAGAGGGTTTGGACGCAGTGCAGTGATGGGAGTAGCTGGAGGGGCTATGATGGGGATGGCTCTGGGCTACGGGCTAGGGAGGTTCCCCCGTCCCCCCTACAACTTCCACAACTCCCAGGAGGAGCAGCACTACAACAACTATATGTACAGGAAATACGGTTCCAAGTCCACTGATGCCAACGACTACAGCAGAGACTACAAATACATCCAACCTCCTGAAACCTATGATAGCTACATGGACTCCTGCATGAAGAGAACAGACATTCTGCGGGCGGAGAATCCAAAAACAAACAACAACCCAGCTGCTACCACCTCAACCCCCGCCCCTGGAACAGGAAGTAACACAAAGGAGACGAACAACACGGCAGCGGATAACTCCTCAACCCATGCACCTTCTACTCCACGCCCTCTGAACCAGCCTGAAGCTGATCCTGTGCCCTCAGCATCACAGGGTCCCAACAGTGATGATGATGATGATGATGATGACGAGGATACAGTCAGCATTGTTGAGATCGGATACCCCGCCCTGATGGAGCAGATGCAGGCCAGGAAATGCTTGGAGCTGTACTTGATCTTCTCTGAAAAGTACATAAAGAAACAGATGAGTGGTGTTCAGGGACTAGTGGGCTCGCGACGGCTTTTAGCTGCGCTCACTAGCGCCACACTAATGCTTCTGAATACCAACATGCTAATGCTGCTGCACTGAGGCGTTAGTTAGCACTGACGAGAATGTTAAGTGGAGTCCAGGAAACGATAAGGGAGAAAGAAACCTGCTTCCTTTTATAGGACTTCCTTTTCTTTTGTGGATTTCTACTTTTACCTTTCCTTAATATTCCGGCATTAGATCCTCATGCATGTGCTTGACCACACAGCTGGCTTGGGATGGCCTGATCTCAGAGATTGGGATCTGGGCTGAGTTAGGCTTTCTTTGACTGTATTGAGCTAGTGAGCATGATCCAACCCTCCTTTTTTCTGCAGCTGTCACACAGCTTCTAACGTGCAGCTTTCAGATAACAGAGGATTTGTTTTTTAATTATTTGTTGTTTCATAAAAAATAAAAAACACTTAGTCATAGCTTCGGATGCAGGGACTGATTTTCTTAATGCTTTGCAAAGCAATTCAATTCTCAGTTGTTTAAAACTAAATCTGTGTGTACCTGGAGTGTGCACTGTGCAGCTTTTTAGAAGCTCAATATTGAATGCACTTGACTGAAGCATCCGTTGCACACAGCATTGCATCTTTGAAATATGATTCAAGGAAAGGAGAGGAAAAGGTTAGACATGAAAGCCAGAGAGAAACTAATTGCACTTGAGTGAGTGGCCATTAACGCTACTGGCCATAAGCTTTTGATGGTAGAGAAGTTTGGCCCATTAATATCCATTTATATTCTACTGAACATGAGACAACATAAGAGGCAGAGAACGCTCTCTACGTATAAAGGTTACTCATTCTTCCAGGTTTGTGATGTGATTTTCAGAAACCTAGTCCTTGTAGATGTTTTTCTTTTGTCTCGGAGGAAAAAGCACAAGAGAGGGTTAGGGTTAGTAGGTTAGTTTGTACCTGATGCTGCATTGGAAATATGTACATGTGCTTTTTCAGTGTGATATTATTATATGAATTGAAGGGATATTGATGTTGGAGGACTGTGTGATTCAAGGAAAGTATCAATTTATACTGGACTTTAACTTATTTATTATTCTACCTTGACACATTTCTGTGCTTTAGAGAGGTTTTACACTGAGCTTACTACTGTAGCTTAAAACATGAATGGACTTTTATCATATAAGTTCCAGTGAAATACAGAAACTCACCTCAAACACTGATTATAATATCTGTCTGTATTTGTTTTCTTCGGATGAACCGACTCTAAGCACAGTATGCATGATGTTCTCTTACACTTCTTAAATTACTTACTTTGGAATCAATGCAAAACTGCTTTTCTTTCATATTTATGTATGTTGTTTTTTACCCTTTTCCATGTGTCGGGTCCGGAGATTGAACTGTGTGTTGTATACACTTCTCCTTCCTCTCTCTGATCCAATGTGTTTTTCTTCTTGTGCCCTGGGTAGGATGTGATTGCAGAAGTGCTCTTGAAGTTTAACCCTTAAACTTATTAGTTTATTGTTGCTAAACCTGCACATATGGATATGTACAAGTGCATTAGACTTATACAATACTTTTTGTTTTACAAATATATAAAAGCGAATTGCATTAAAAAAAAAACGAAATGTTCTCTGGAGTTTTAAATGCATCAGACAGTTTGAATTAAAAATGTCCATAACATATAAAAAAATAAGCTGTTAGAGCTAAATAAAAACATTGCCACCTTCTTGTTGGTATACAATCCTCTCTGCTAATTCAGCCTTCACTCTTGATTTCTCCATTTATTACTTTGTTCATTGGTGGAAGAAACATTTAAATGAAATATGTATTGTAGTACCACCACACTGTAAATACTCCACCTTAAGTGAAAGCGCTGAATTTAAAACCTTAGGAAAGTAAAGATGTGTCTCTAAGTTAGAGCTGCTAATATGAATCTATAAGTTGTTCATTATTACATTTCTTTACTGTTTTGACAAATATTCCTCTGATAAGCTTCTTAAATGTGAATAGTTTCTAGTTTGTTCTTTCCTCTATGACAGTGAACTGAATTTCTTTGAATTCTGGATAAAACAAGAGTAAGGACAAACCAAGTAAGCTAGCGTAAAATGGAGATGCTCAAGTAAGGAACAAGCCCTTGAAGTGTTTTATTTGAGTGAATGTATTTAGTTACATCCCAGCGCCAAACCAGGTAACTCACATTTCAGAGACAATCACTGAGCTAATAGCCAAAGCTTGTTTGGACTGTAGAACCATATCATGAAAAACCCCAAGGTGTACCTTGTAATGTGTTTTTATATGTACCCTATAATTGTGTCTGGCTTTGAATGTACGTGAAAATGCACAGTAATGTATTTTAAGCAAAGTATGCATTTTACTGTGAGGGATCACATTTAATGTGCAGCTGAAACTTTACTGAATACTGAGGGTCGACTCACATCTCTTGCTTGTCAAATAAACCCTATAAAGCTACTCATGGACATGTTTGGATCATCGTTTTTCCACTGAAAAAGGCTGTAGTGATGTTGAAAATAAGCATTATATTGAATGCTTTTATGGGAATCTGTTGGGAAAATACTAATATCAGAGTAGCACATGATAACAAAGGCCCTACGTAGCTGTGTACGTAACAGAATGTATGATAGAAGAGCGTCAGGACACTGTTTTAGGCATATGATAGCTATGTGACAACGATTAACATGATGATTCAGCCTCTATGGAGATAAACATCTGACTGTCATGTTTATTTCTTACGCAGGCCTTAGCTAATCTGAACTAAACATTGAATACTGCTTTGAACCGGTATTCCTCCATCCTGTGACTGTAACATCCTCTCTTGTATATAAGCATGTGAAGGACACTGTTCTGGGAATTATTCTTCCCACGCAGCTCTGTGTGTGATGATTACTTCCATTCTTGCAAGGATAATAAATACATGTATCCTGATATTGAAGACCAAGCCGGTGACGAGTGATATTTTATTTTTTATAACAGAATCAATTTGATGATATATGGTGATCTGATTACAATAGGTAAACCCTGAGAATTTGACAAAACGCAGCAGTTCAACCTGAAGTTAGATTTTCAGGTTTACTGGAAACTAATGATCAGAGTATGAGTGTCAAATGTAGAACTGCAATTGATATATATTCACTCTATGGAACTACACGAAGGCTGGGTCAACTCTTTTCTGTGTTTCACATTTAAGGAAGCATGATTATTGAATGGGAAAGTTCCAGAGAACACTGCTGGATGTTGCATCAGATTTTAAAGGACAGAGTAGAAAGCAAACACCAGGTGTGATTTGATCAGATGCAGGAAGCTGAGACTGAAGTCTGCCGGCTGTTCCGGGCTCTTATATGTGGATAAAATAACAAGCCTAATGTAATGCTTTAATACACAGTGGACTTTAATGGACTTTAGTTTTACATTTACTGCATCTTTCCTGCTCTAAGAGGTTAATATTGTTTTCAATTGTGAGTATTATACTAAGTAAACAACTTTTATTTATAAAAAATGTTACTTAAGTAAAATTGAGGTCATTTAAAATATACTACAAGTAGAAATGACATTTTTTCTTTGGGGTTAAGAAACTTCTTATTAAGATAATGTCTGAAATAAGTGCAAGTAAAAATAAAAAAATAAACACAGTTCCTGCTGTAGAAGGCACTGTGCTGCGTGTGTGCATACAGCTGATATCAATACACTTCCTCATCATAGCTTTACTAGAATTAACCAGAAAAGAGACAAAACTCTATAGACAATCAAGCAGAAATAAACAACAATAAATAGTATTTTAACAAGACACCACGGCTGGTGCAACAAGCATTAAAATACATATCTTGTGTGTCCACCTCATGGCTATAAATGTAGTGTTTTATTCATTATGTGAGTGCCAGGTCAGTCACCCACTGTCCTTCATCGTTCTGGTAAACCACACTGTGTGGCAGGTGCACCTGAAGAGGAGAGCCATGCTGTTAACACGTATATACATACACTTACACCAAGAAACAAGCCTCAATATGTATTGAGATTGTAGAACAGAGCATTAACTCGGTAAAGATCTTAACATCACTGATAAAGACAACCTTGTTTAAATTCCTGCTCCAGGTTGTCTAGGCAATAATTCCACCCATCATCTGAATCTTCTGTGTCCTGGTGGATGCTCTGGGAGAAATACTTGGGTTCCAGGGAGGTTGAAAGGGGAGTGTTGTCATCCTCACTGGTACCGTCTGAGGCCTCTGCAACACTTGCATTCCCACAAGGCCCTCCTCTTAAGCCCAACGAATGCCTGGCATCATCGGGCTCATCTACTCCATCGTCATCATCTTCATTGTCCCCATCATGGCATTCAGGAAGCAGTACCTACAATGTTTTTGGATGCTTGTGTCAGACCTATTATTTAAAAGTGTCTTGAAAAGCTATAATGATAACATTTCTTCTCAAGTAGTTTACATTGGAAATGTCACACAATCAATCTTGATGAGGTCTATAACTTCCCTCTTCAAGGCTGCCTTCTCCATGCACTTTACCTGTAGGGGAAGTTGTGCCAAAGCCCAAAACCAACAAAGATGACCAGATTGCAATGGTAGTGTCCTTGTATCAATGTGTGCTCATACATAATGCTGACATCCAGTCAAAATGCCCCAAGGATAATAGGTACATGGGTCTTTATAAAACCCTGACTTTCGCCCATTCCCCTGTTATGTATTGTACCTGAGATAGGTGGAAGCTCCCCTGGGTGGGTGCCTTGAAGGTAGGAGAATGTGAGGCTGGCCGATTCCTGAGGTCTCTGGAGTCCAGCTCCACTCCTCAGGTCGGCGGAGTCCAACAGCCTGTCAACAGCAGGCCTAGACTGTGAGCTCTCCATGGCATCCTGGTGTTGAAATGAGAATCACATTGACAACCAGAGCCTTATGTTATATGCATGAATATTTCAGCCTTTGCTGCTTTTAGTTGATCACTGTATTCTGCTGTGCAGTGCTTCACATCTCCATGCAACAGACAACGTTACATTTTCTAAATCCTTGAGGCTAACGGTCCTCAGGCAAACACACTATGACAGACAACACATCACCTGCTATGACTTACGAGCTGTTTTAGAATGTATATTTGACTCCATAACTAACTTTCGGAAGAGAAAGATAACTCTTTGTCTGGAATGTGCATGGTCTACACACTCTACAGTTTGCTTCTTATTTTCCTTAAAATAGAAGCAAAGTTTCAACAAAAATAAAAAACTATATCATACAGGGATGAAAAATACAGTGGAGGAAATAAGTATTTGATCCCTTGCAGATGTTGTAAGTTTGCACCTACAAAGAAATGAAGAGTCTATCATTTCAATGGTAGGTTTATTTTAACAGTGAGAGTAAGAATATCAAAAAGAAAATCCAGAAATTGACATTATATGAAAGATCAAAATGTATTTGCATTTAACTGTGGGAAATCAAATCCTCTCCGGTAAGATATTTTTTTTAATTTGGAGTTAAATGCATCAATCTGGTGCATTTTGAGGACAAAATAAAGAGACTATCTTTGGAAACACCCGTATGAAACAGATGCCACATCATGTAGACAGTCACCCTGTGTGAGGCAAACCCACATTTGCGCAGCGTTGCGTTCACAATAGCCTACATTAAAAAAAAAAAAAATCGCCAGGCCATCGGGAAACCTCCCGGTCCTCCCGATGGCCAGTCCGGGCCTGCCAGCACCCCTCTACTTGCTACAAACTTAAATATGAAAAGGTTCAACTACGCACACACACATCATTTCGGATCGCGCAGAACGCTCACAGGCATAGATTGTGCAATCAGGGCCGTATCCAGGATTTCCTAAATACCGAGGTCCAAACATGCTAGGGGGGTTCGGGGGTATACCCCCGAGATTTTTGGGATTTTCATGATCTAGTTGGGTGCTTTTTAAGTCCTGTGTCACAAATTGGATAATATATTGATTTCAAACCATGTCAGTGGATGCAGCATAAATTATCTTTGAAAGTGTAATACATAAGAATCAGTTGATTGTGACTATTAATGATCTGGACATGCAGAAGAGGCTAAAATGATCACAACACATTGTCAACGTTCATTTTCCATGTCTCTCCCCTTTCCATAACCTGCAGCCTCTCTTCCATATTCTTTAGTCTCTCTGTCTTCTTCCTGTCCATTACTCTCTCTGTCCTCTACTCTTTCTCTTTGTTCAATCTCTCCCTCGTTGTTCACTTTTTGCTCCTCCTCACTTGTCGCTCCTGCCAGTGAATTAAAAGCAATTCAGCAGTTTAGTTCATTTCACTTGTTTGTTTGCATTCTTTTTTTATTTAAATCTGTTTTGTTTGATTCTCAAAAGAGAACGAAGATGTAAGCAAATTGTGTTTTATACAATTGTATGTTATTATGACATCATAACTGCAATAGATGTACGTGGTTTTAAAATGATGCCTATTGTCTATATTGTAAATGAAGACTATTGTTATAGATAAATAGATAGATAGGCCTAGATGGATAGATGGGGTTATTAAGCCGACATTATTTGTGTGTGACTGTCATGGTCATACATGTGTGTGTGTGTGTGTGTGTGTGTGTGTGTGTGTGTGTGTGTGTGTGTGTGTGTGTGTGTGTGTGTGTGTGTGTGTGTGTGTGTGTGTGTGTGTGTGTGTGTGCCAGATAATATAAGTACACTGGACAAACAAGACACACTGGATTTCAGTGCTTCTTCTACTTATTTATTTTTTCATAAGGATAATTATTTAAAATAGAAGAAGTGCTTGAATCTCATAAAAAGAGATGTGTCTTACTTGCCTAGTGTAGAAATAAAATGCTGCATTGATTTTGAGTCACTGGGTCACATGACCTGGAAGCTCTTGACATTCTGTTTAACTTTGTGATAAAGAGACGTCATGGTGTCTTTTTAAAAATAAAATACAACACACAGTTTTGTTCTAATATTCTTTTATTTAAATAACAATAATAAACGTGAAAGCACATTTTACATAAAAACTTGAATTAGGTACAATAAACATATACAAGCAATGTACTGAAAATGTAACCCTCCCAATATTCAGAGAATTTCACCAGGCCCGGTTCCAGAACAAAATGACTCAGGGTGCATCTGAGATTAGAGAGGGTGCAGTGGTAAAGTGCTATTTTTATAAGTGGGGAGTGGACCTAATACCCTGGGGTCCTCACCTCCTCTAGGGGGGCCCGCGGGCATGCTCCCCCGGGAAGATTTTTTTTGAAATATTGAAGTTAAAAGCATCAATCTGGTGCACTTTGAGAGCAAAATGAAGAGATCTATGGATCTATGTGCTCTTTGCTTGATTCATGCCTTCCCAGTCCCTTATCACGTACAAGAGCATGGCGCCAGTTGTTGTAGCCAGTTGTGGTGAAGGCATCTGACTTACTTGAACCGAAATGTCTACATGCATAGCAGAAGATGGCATCTTTTTTACATGAATATTCCAGCCAATCTCTGTTTTGAAACCATGAGCTGCAAAATGAGCGCCTTACCCCACTGTACAGGCGAGTTGGGTACTTTTTTAAATATACATGCAGGCTCTGTTTTGCCGAGGTCCTCTGGAGGGGTGGCGGTGTTTGGGGCAACAAAGACGGCCGTGGCTGCTCCGTCTCCGTGGGCGAGGCGGGCAAAGCCGGCGAGTCGGGCGGGAGGACGTTAGTGTTCACGACAGTGGCCGCGGGTAACGTAATGTCCCCATGATCTGAACTGTTATTACTGATGCAGTGTTACTGCTGGCAATAAGGGCTGGTTGTTTTAACCATTTTCTGTTGTCCATCATTGACTGCTGTGTAAGCACCTTGCAGATGACGAACGTGCAGCGCACAGGTCACGCGCACCTGACATAATAATGTTACTTACCGTTTAAATTGACCAAATAAATGCAGCAGACAATGTTATTTAATCACAATTACATTTAATTTAAACTATATTCTTATTACTATTATTGTTATTATATATGTAGGCCTACTATTTTTCACTTCTTTTTTTTCACTTTTAATTTTTCAAATGAGGGTGCATAACGACTCAACTGAGGGTGCAATGCACCCTTATGCACCCCCATAGAACCGGGCCTGAATTTCACAGACTCACAGATTCAAAAAAACAAACTAAAAACACACTTGTTACATAATATACTGATAAATGGAATTATCATATGAAGTGTATCTGCTCTTTAACTCTGTTACTCACATGACTTCTTGAGGTAGTTTTAACCTAACTATACAAGTCATTTATACTTGCGCTATCTTTACAGACTCCCTATGGAGAAAACATTTTGATCATCAATGCAATCATCAAAAGTATAAAAAGATTGGACACTTAGAAAGAGAAATATGAATTTGGGAAATATCTGATCGAAAACTATCTGAACATATTCCTACGGGAGGTTTGTTGATCTGCACACCTGCAGGCTGGCGTCACACGGACACGTTGTGGAGGTTAAACTCATTACATTTCTCCTCCTGTCCTTATCGAGGGTCACTGAAGTGTTGGGAAAACAAATTGGCCTCATTATTCAAGGGCTTGCATTAGGTCAAATCCGACTAGTTCTGTTTCCTGTCGGCTGTGGGTTGTTGTTTCAGTCTGTGTGTGTTTGGGCCGCAGCTCTGTCTCTATATGCCGGCTGCCCAGTGTCCTAACAGCAGGGACATCAGGGAGCCAATCACAACGATGATGCTGTTGTAGATGGGGCCGCTGGAGGCCCCGGCGTAGTACTCCATGTCTCCAGAGCCCTCTGGGTCATAGCCGGGCCGGCGGCCATAGCCGCCCCCACCGTATCTTGGGTTACCATACCCCCCATATCCTCCACCATATCCTCCACCATATCCTCCACCATAGCCTCCACCATAGCCTCCTCCATACCCAGGGCGGCTGAGGGCAGACCCGATCATGGCCCCCCCGATGGCCCCCGCTGCAGCGGCCCCTGCTACTTTCCCTGCACTGGGGCCGCTGCTCTGCACCGGTCTGTAGGCCTGGCCCCCCCCACGGCCCCAGCCCCGGCCTCCACCTCGGCTGAACCCACCTCCAAAACCTCCACCCCCCCGCCGGGCCTCACAGCTGGGCAGCAGGGTGGCGAGCAGCAGCAGCAGGCAGAGGGCCGCTGAGAGGGGGGGGCGCGGCAGGAGAGACGCCATTTTATAATCTGTAAAGAATAAGACAAAGGAAATGTACTTTGTCAGTTAGTTAGAGGTTATCCTCTGATTCTTGACAGTTCAGCTATTGACACGATGGAAGTATTATTTAGATAATTACTTTAAAGTAGTTATAGTACATCAGAAATGTGTTTCAAGACAAGGGTATTTAAAAGCAAGAAGCACAAATCTCTTTACCCAGAGATTTAAAAGACAATCCCAGAAAATAAATAGTATTCAAATGGTGCATAATGTAGATATCATTATTCATTAAGAACGCAACAAATATTTCTATATATATATATATATATATATATATACACACATACATACATACTCAAAATATACCAAAAAAAGTGAATTGTCAAAGAAAAATTAAGAAATGAAACCAAAGAAAGTATGCTAAAAAAAAATACGTTTTGAATATTAGGAAGTAAACCAACAACTACAGCCAAGTAAGCTTAACAATATAATATTAGAATTAAAAAATGTAAAGTATAAAAAGCAAAATTGTTCCATACTGCAAAATGACAAATTCAGGAGTATATTATTATAATTATTATTATCATTAGTATCATTATTATTATTATTATTATTATTATTATTATTATTATATACAATATCACCATCAGCATTTAAAATGTGCTTGTTTTAGAGGAGATACTTTTAACCAAACGTATACTCTGTTGAGTCTTTAAATAATAATCCTTTTATTTTTTTAAATTGATCATATATTTTAAAGTATGTAATGAGTAATTATAGCTTTCCTAAGACTGTCTTACACACTGATGAGATGTTCTCGTTGCAGCTTTCATCCTGCTGGGTGTTATTTTTACGTTAATTTAGAGCAGTACAGATCACAGCTCTTAATCCAGCTTCACATTTTACACAAGCAGCGTCACTGCTGCACACTGTTTAACACTCAGCTGACCCGAGATCAGATTCATAATCCCTAAGAGCCTTTTTATCCGGGTCTACTGTGAAAGAGTCTGGCTCCAGATCTGAGGACTACACTTAAATATGTGTGAAGAAATCCAGAAACAGCCAACTCAGGCAGCCATGTGTGTACTGCTGATAGTACAAGAA